GAAACTGTAAATGTCTTAACACCTTTTTGTAGCACACATAGTCCAGTTGGTGTTGATCTGCATTTTAAAACTTTCAAGCAACATTCATATAAAAGATACATAAGAAATTATGCAAATGCTAACTATACACAACTATGCACAGATTTGTCAAATGTTGATTGGAACAGGGAGGTATTTAATACTCATAATATTAATGACATATATGACAACTTTATGAAAGTATATAACTATTATGTTGACAAAAATATACCCAAAAAAGTAGTGACCATTCGACCTTCAGATAAACCATTTATGACAAGTGCTATCAGATGTAAGATGCGACAAAGAAATAGAGTACATTACAAGGCAAAACAAAATAATAACGAATACCAGTGGAGTAAATACCGTCATTTAAGAAATGAAGTAATAAGTATGGTACGTAAATCAAAACAGGTCTATAAAGAAAAAATTACTTCACAAATATTAGATAGAACAATTCCACCTGGGAAATGGTGGCGAATTGTAAAGTCTATTACTAAATTCTCTAAAAAACATATTAAACCCCCACCAATAAAATCCAGTGGTAGAATTTTTATACACCCTATTGATAAAGCTAATATACTCAATAAACACTTTGCAGAAATATCACATATTGATGTTAGCACAGAACCCCAATTACCTCCACAAGGGCCAGGTCCACCATATTCAATAAACACAATTCATATCACACCCCAAGATGTGGAGGATCAATTAAAAAATATCAACCCATCTAAACCCCCTGGACCTGATGAAATTTCTCCACATATACTAAAAAATATAATTCCTTCAATTACTGCACCCTTAGCAAAATTGTTTAATGCATCATTAACCAATAAACAGCTTCCTCATATATGGAAACTCTCAAATATTACACCAGTCTATAAAAATAAAGGGAGTCCTGAAGAGCCAGGAAACTACAGGCCAATTGCTTTAACAAGCATTCTTTGCAAGATTATGGAAAAAATTATATTTAAATATCTTTACAACTATATGCTAGAGCATAATCTTCTATCTAAAAATCAGTCTGGATTCCAACCTGGAGACTCCACTGTAAATCAACTTCTAGAGATATACAATACTATTATAAGCAGTTTAGACCAGGGTAAAGATGTAAGATTTGTATTCTGTGATATATCAAAGGCATTTGACAGGGTCTGGCATAAGGGATTATTATATAAGCTTAAGCAAAATGGTATCGCAGGAAATTTATTGGACTGGATTGAAAATTATCTTACTGATCGTGAACAAAAAGTTTTATTAGAAGGGTACTCCTCAGTTAGAGAAAGTATAAATGCAGGTGTTCCACAAGGCTCTGTATTAGGACCATTTCTCTTCTTAGTATATATCAATGACATAACTGTAAATTTAGAAAATCAAATTAGGTTATTTGCAGATGATACTTCTTTGTTTGTTATTGTAGACTCTGATACATTAGCCCCTACCATCTCTTTAATAGATGACTTGGAAAAAATTAAACAATGGTCCAGACAATGGATGGTGGATTTTAACCCTAATAAAACTGTAAATGTTAATTTTACACGGTCAAATAAATCACATCCACAAATTTCATTTGGTCACACACATAACTACATAGAACAGAAACAAAGTCATTGTCACCTTGGACTTATAATGCAATCCAATGGCGGTTGGTCCGAACATATCTCCAAAATATATGACAAAGCATGCCAACGTTTAAATGTTCTTCGCACACTCAAATATAAACTAAACAGGGATTCCCTTATTAAAATTTATATTGCATTCATTAGACCTATTTTAGAATATGGTAATGTAGTGTGGGATAATTGTACACAGGAGCAGAGTAATCTATTAGAAAGTGTACAAGTAGAGGCTGGGCGTATCATTACTGGACTAAGGCGCAATTCTTCGAAACAAAATTTATATACAGAATTAGGATGGGAAACACTGAGTGAAAGAAGAACTAAACACAAGCTTACACTTATGTACAAAATACTTAATAATTATACACCTGAATATTTGCATGATATGGTTAAACAGTGTCTACCTGTTTCACACAATTATGCTTTACGCAATAGTAATTTGTATCACATACCAATCACTAGAACAGTTGCATATTATAATAGTTTTTTACCATCTACAATTAAGTTATGGAATGATTTGCCAGATAGCACGAAATCTGCAACAAGTGTAGCTAAATTCAAACAAAGTATTCAAAATAAAAATCTTGATGATAAAATAAAATCAAAATTATACAGTTACGGACAAAGGAAATTAAATATATTCCACTGTCAGTTGAGAAACTTGTCAAGTAATCTTAATGCAGATTTGTTTAATCATAACTTAGTTGGTTCACCTAAATGCTTAAAATGTGGTTATTCTTTTGAAGATTCTGTTCATTTTTTCTTTCAATGCCCATGTTATGATCTTGCCAGGAACTCTTTGATCACATATATGATTGATCATGACATACCAAGAGATATCAATATTGTATTGTCTGGTTATGATTGTCTATCTCTTAAAGAAAATTTGTTATTATTTGATCAAGTTCATAATTTTATAAAAAATACTAAAAGATTTTAGAATGTGAAAATGTAATAAGCATTAATGTGCAGCATGTACACTGAAAGTACATATACATATATGGCTCTGAGCCTCTTCCCCTTTTCCGTTATCCCCACCCTCTTTTTTTTTCTCTCTCTCTCTCTTTCCTTTCATTATTCCACCTTATTGTTCAATTCCCCTCTTTTTTCAATTTTGTACATTGTATCCTCCTTAAAAATTAGTCTAAAATACATGTCTTTGCAAAAGTTATGATATATATTATTGTAACATTTCATGATTTGTACCTTGATCTTTAATGGAGAGAACTTATATAGGCCATTTTGCCTGCTGTTCAATCCATATTCATTGTATATACATTTATGTATATCATGAATAAAATACTTCTTAAACTAAACTACATGAGTTTGGGATGTATCAGCACCGAAGGTCTGATTCCAACTGACTATAAATTTTCACAACAAAACATACATATTGAACAATGATAGAACAAAATAAAAAGGATTAACAATAAGTATTAAGAAATCAAGTATTAAACAATTATTGAGCGAATGATGACATTTTAGCGGCATGTATATAATAGAATTAAAGTAGATGAAAGATTAAGTGTCAATAAATATAAACAGAAGTCAATTAAAGGATTAAGTGTCCACCTCTGACTGTGCCTCAGGTAGGATTAAAGATATGTAGAATTTATAAAATTTATCACATTTGCCAAAATATACGAAAAGTTTTTATAACAATTTACACGAAGTCCGAAAAGTTAATTTTCACAGTAATTTATATTAAGTCCGAAAAGTCGTATTTTTCACCGTAACATACTGAAAAAATTTCACTTAAAATCCTTGGAATGCACTGCAAAACGTCCAATGCTGGTTGTATAGCAGAACTTAAAAGACTACCACTTTGGTCTAAAATTTCATTCTTGAGTATTAAATATTGGAATCACCTGAAAACTTCTGATTCTTTGGCTTTTAAACTTTACCAATCCACAAATAATTGCAATTCTTGGACTAAGAAATTATTTTCTATTCTAGATAATCTGGGATTTTCAAACATTGCAAAATATAAATGTTCCATTCAACAACTTTTATCCAGCATAAAACAGAGAATCATTGACCAGTGCACTCCAGAGCAAACATCAAAAATATTTGGTTCAGAAAAACTATAAAAAATCATACTCAAGAAAAAGAAGTCCATATGTTGATTTACTCAGAAAAAAAATCTGAGAGATCCTCTCTTAGTAGAATTAGGTTAAGTGCACATAAACTTGCACATAAACTTGCAATAGAAAGTGGTATAGATATATTTGCACACCAAGAAATGAAAGATGTTGTAATGCTTGCAATACTGATGTGATTGAGGATGAAATTCATTTTTATTTTACTATAAATCTTATTCTAAGCTAAGAAACACAGACCTCAGAAATATTTATAATATAACAAAGAAAAGCATTAATCTTTACAATGAAAGATACAAGTTACAATTATATGTAAACAGTGATATACATAAAGTCTTAAAAGTTACTGTGAATTTTACTAGAGATTGTTTTGAACATATAAGTCAATTAGTTAATACTGCATAAAAATTTTGTAAACATTATCTAATGATGTTCAATGGGCCTATGCCAATCATTGTAATTGTGTTTGTGCCAATAAATATTTGTATTTCTATTAATTAATGCATTTCAGCTTTGCTTGAAGCGACGATATGTTTGTCACTTTGTCGTTTAAAAAGTGAACTTCTATACACAATTGTGCAGATATATGTGTACAGAATTCAGGGTGGTCGTTAAAGATCGAGATCAGGGGCCCGTTTTACAGAAGAACTAACGACTAAGACCAAAAACTTAAGGAGGCTGGGGGTCAACAAATTAACCATCAGATATAACTTAATTTTTTAGATATGATATCTTAAGCTGTTAACTATCATTTGGCACACAAAAATTTCATACATTTTAGTTTTAAAATTTGATCATTTTTGTATATCTTTATATGGAGCTCTTCTTCTAAAGGAGATCAATATAGTCTGAAAATGGCCACAACCACCCAGCCCTCTTAAGTTGGTTGTAAAATTTTGCAAAATTAATGATTCTGTTTAAAATTGCTGTCGTAAAAGTATTTTTCTACATTCCTTTTTAACAGATTGAAACCATTTTCAATTTATTGCAAATTAGAAAGTTATAAGCAGAATGAATTCTTGGTCGTAGTCGTAAGTTCTTTTGTAAAACGGGCCCCAGAAATGCACAATTAATACAACCATCCAAGACCAGCATTACAGTTTACTGTACATATTTACAGCATATCTTCGTTCTTCTCAAAACATTTACGATATACATTAACGCCACGCTGACCTAGATATATTGTAACACAAAACCTGCAAGGAGAATTGAGAAGGATTAACCGAGTAACAAAGGAAATTGTGCAAATTAAAGAAAATCATACCTTCGGATCCTTTTCTTTAATGCACAAGTTTCCAGGAAAAGTTAGGACACAGTATTATTTAAATATCTCTCCTTTCACTTCGATCACGATGGTATGTATACAGCTCAATGTTTACATGTATCGTGGGGCTCCCATGGGAGAAATCGTCTTCGCATTCTAAGTAAAGTTATATTTTAAATATCTGGAGGTTGGACTTTGCACTATGTGGAATGCAGGTCTATATGTCGAGTTAAATAGGGTTTCACCCACACACACACCTACAATTAAGTACAATGGGCGCGTCCTTTTGATGGTTTAGTTTGATATTAATGACTGCAGGTTGCTCAAATTAACTATGCAAGAGAACTTCCGAGATATAGATATCTACTAGAGCTTAACCCACGGGCTTCCAAACCATTTCAATGTATCTCTGCTTTTAATATACACTGCACATATGGAGACAGTAATGTTGCCCTTAGATCTAAATTTTAATAAATTGAAATATTTATTCAATTTGTAGTTAATGCAAGTATTCTAAACGTGTGAATAGTTCAAGATAAATAATCTGAACACTTTATTTGCATGCATTTCCCCACTTCCGTAAACAACAGTGATTTTGTTCATCAATATCTAATCTTTAAATAATTTTCCGGAGGGCAAATGCCACGTACCCTATGTTGAAATGAAATCGATAAGCTCATTACACCTTTATATGCAATATAATTTTCTCAATGTCCAAATAACAATTTGATTTAGAGTATAGAGGGGTCCTTAAGGAGGCTGGGGGGTCAACAAATTAACCATCAGATATAACTTAATTTTTTAGATATGATATCTTAAGCTGTTAACTATCATTTGGCACACAAAAATTTCATACATTTTAGTTTTAAAATTTGATCATTTTTGTATATCTTTATATGGAGCTCTTCTTCTAAAGGAGATCAATATAGTCTGAAAATGGCCACAACCACCCAGCCCTCTTAATTGTAAAACCTTCTTCTGAGGAAGGCTCAGAATTTTCAGTAAGAAAACAAGTACATGTACTTACCGCAACTCTTTCAATATGTCAGTCGAAAACGCAACATTTTACAAATAAATCATACAGCCGAAAGGCATAGGAAATCGGGCATAATTGAAACTACTGCATTTGATCACTTCCACGATAGCAAATGATACTTTTCACCGGGAATGTTCTAAAGCCTCCCAAAACAACGTGTCCATTAGTATTTTGAATGTTGATTCGTGATAAAGTCAAGTTTCTGAGACCAGGCAATGTATTTGATTTTATTGTTTGTTTAACGTCCCTTCGAAAATTTTTCACTCATATGAGACGGTACAACGCTGCAAATTTAGACCTGTTATCAGTACTTAGGGCCTTTGAGCAGTGAGAGATATTTTTTGTGCCAGCACTTACTGCGAAACAGGACCTCAGTTTATACAGTCTCATCCGAATGACAGGTCTCCACGTCCCTCATGAGATTGAAACCCCCTAAATGATGATCAACTCCTTATTCCGCGTCTCTAGAGAAAACGTTCTAACTACAGCGCCACGCGGGGGACTCCGACAATGTAATATATACTTCTAATACACATGATGACGATTTTACATATAATACCCTGAACCTCTGGACATTTATATTCTTCAAATGACATCATAAAAAGGAGCGGGGGAAGGGTTTTTTTTTCATGTTTTTATTATTATTGACTTTTAAACGAAGCTTGACAGATTCTTTGCCGTAAGAAAAGTTCACAAATGCAACCCTTTAAGACATTGCATAATTCCTCTCCATACAATACATCTAAGTTATCTCACGTAAACACATCTATACTCCATAAACAGAAAAATTCTCAGTGTCTCACAGAAAAGAAATGACATAAAATGTAAACACTTGGAAGTCTGTCACACACACCACTGTTAGGTGTACAGGATGTCATAATGTCCTGGTCTGTATAGCAGGGTAACCACTGGCTTAGAATCTTCCGGAAAATTATGATGATTACACTGGTCTCCTTCCCCACGATCCATGTACTCCACCCTCACTGGCACCCCCAGGGCTGATGTCAGGGCTATTATCTGTATGTGGTCACTTTCTTTACCCATCGGCTCAACCTCCTGAAAAGTATATGACAACACATAACAATTCAAACAGGATTAAGTAAACCCCACTCCCTTGAAACATTATTATAAAAAAAAAAAACCCAAACATTTTAATGAAGTTAAAATTTTGTGGTTGTTTATTAATATGTGATCATATTGCAGTCATTTTCGCACAGCTTTCAATTTTTATTTATTTGTTGTTGTTTTTTTTTAATTTATATTATTTACATGTGTATATCAATCAATAAGAATTCCTGAATAAATTCTGCTAAACCCTTGATTATTCCTGTATGTACAGCACAGTTGTATTTAAATTCAGATCTATTGTTAACCTCCAATCACCAGTGATATCAAGGTTCGATATTTAAGAAGCTTGACAAATGAGCAGAGAGAATGAGGCAAAACATAAATTAAAGATGTTTATTATTAGACCTCTTTCTTCCCCAAAATAAGACCCCATGAGTCTCTCTTCCCCAGGTAATACCTCTGGCTCATGAGCCTCTTCTCCCAAAACAAGACCCCGAGTCTCTTCTCCCTAAATAAGATCCCATGAGCCTTCCTTCCCCAAATAAGACCCCATGAGCCTCTCTTCCCCAAATAAGATCCCATGAGTCTCTTCTCCCTAAATAAGACCCCATGAGCCTCTCTTCCCCAAATAAGACCCCATGAGCCTCTCTTCCCCAAATAAGATCCCATGAGTCTCTTCTCTCTATATAAAACACCATGAATCTCTTCTCCCTAAATAAGACACCATGAGCTTCTCTTCCCCAAATAAGATCCCATGAGTCTCTTCTCCCAAAATAAAACCCCATGAGTCTCTTCTCCCTAAATAAGACCCCATGAGCCTTCCTTCCCCAAATAAGACACCATGAGCCTCTCTTCCTCAAATAAGATCCCATGAGCCTCTCTTCCCCAAATAAGATCCCATGAGTCTCTTCTCCCCAAATAAAACCCCATGAGTTTCTTCTCCCTAAATAAGACCCCTTCCTTCCCCAAATAAGACACCATGAGCCTCTCTTCCCCAAATAAGATCCCATGAGTCTCTTCTCCCCAAATAAAACCCCATGAGTCTCTTCTCCCTAAATAAGACCCCATGAGCCTTCCTTCCCCAAATAAGACCCCATGAGCCTCTCTTCCCCAAATAAGATCCCATGAGCCTCTTCTCCCTAAATAAGACAACATGAGCCTGCGCAGCACTGTTAAGGCGTACTTCGAAGAAATCAACAGAATATAAATGTGCATAAATACATACCTTTTTAAAATGAATTTTAATTTTGTAAAGGTACTATATTATCTTATGACTTTAACATTCTTTGAAATAACATTGTATACCCCGCTCTGTACTGAATTTGGTTTGGTCACGTTATTTGATAGTCACGTGATAAATGCATGTAATGTGTACTGTATGTAGGTCACAAACAAATTTCAATATCGCAAGGGCATACCCTAGTTAAAATTAAAAATTAAAGTATTAGATTGTTTCTACATTACTTGTGGTTTATGGAAAGTGCTGCTGCTTTAAATAGAATTCGCATTTTATTAGTTTAAATTTCTAGTTATCTTGCTAATGTCGAAATATGTGTGACCCTTACCAAGTAATTTGTGTATTTATTAATAAGTTATGCTATCGATTTCAGGAAAGCAGCAGCACTTTTCAAGTTAAGGAATATGTCCATTATGTATTCAAAAACTGGTCAAGATCTTTTAAGTGTATGCCCTTGCGAAAGTGCGATTTAATGAGGCAACTTGGCGTGAAACATGCACACCCTGTAGACAAAAACACGGTAGAATTAATTCAATACATTCTCTCGATATTTTTTAAATAATGGCACTAAACAAACGTTTCAGATTTGTATTAATGGTCTACCTAAGATTTTCAAATAATATTCTGTTGGATAATAAAATGCATTTTTCACTGTGAAAAAATACTTGATCCGCCTCTCCCTGCACATAAAATGCGTCAAACTTTACCATGATGACGTCATGTCGACAAGTGCATTGCGATCAGTGACTTGTTTATATCTTGCTGTGTGGGATTTAACTAGCGACAAAAATGAATGCAGTGGTAAGTTTTGATGTAGTTCATTACTCCTATGCAGTTTAAATTCGCAAATTACTTCATTTTCTGTTATTGTGAGGAATTGCTATATTTGTGTGATGTCACAGTAAACTTTTCCCGTATAAATTAGGCCCCGCCCCCTTTATGCAGCCTTAACAGAGCTGCGTGAGGAAAAGATAAAACTCCAGATTAGAATCATCAGCTTAATCTGCCCATTTTCTTTGCAAGTATATTTTTATAGATGTTTCTTGGAGAAAAAAAAATATAATAAGTAGGAAATATATCAACATAAGTAGACATAAGATCTACAGTCTACAGACATCAGTAACTTGAATAAAGAGGGTTATGTCACGATTTATCTCACATTACCTCTTTGGAGCCCTGATTAACTAAACAGGATAAACCTGATTTATCAGAACATGGACCTTAAATTCTGTGTCAACTATACATCAGGTCAGACATCTTGTGGAATGCTCTGGGTAATGTACTTAGAAATAAACTATTTACTGCCCTGCAGATACTATATCTCATAGCTTGGCATGGACTTTGACACCAAACCTTTGCTTTCCTAATTTTATGTCTACAAAAGATAAATATCAGTTTAACTGGGACACTTAAGCATGTGTTTAACCTATCTTTGTCTGGATTAAGATTGTCATTTTGTTGATTTTGTAAATTCCAAGATTTTTACACGATCAGTCTGATTCCCTTATACTACTAACATAAAACCTAATCCCTACCTGATTGCAGAACTCTTTAATTCCTCTTTCTCCTTCGATGAAATTACTGAAAAAATCAGCTTCCTTTTGCAAATGACCAGAAACAACCAACCTATAAAATTTCACAGCTTATTAGACAATTTCAATTTTCTTTTAGAAAGTAACCAGACACAAAAGATCTATAGCTCACTGTGTAGACAAGTACAGTGAATGCAAATCTGTAGTTCACTGTTGTGTATAAATTAGATGGCTGCAGATCTGTAGCTCACTGGAGTGAACTGATACATAATTTGAAGAAAAAAAACTTGGGATTGTTTCCATATGAGCTCAGATGAGCTAACAAGTTGGTGAACTGAGCAATAGATTCTTGACAAGTATGAAACAAGAGAGAATTCCTCTTTAAAAACCATTCTGAGTTCTGAAATATCTTTGAAAGTAAAGGAATTTATTGGAGTGTTTGATGATGCCTATCCTGAAATTAAGAAACTCCCTTCTTTATACTTTAATTCCAGAAGTTTTTGTAAAGTTTAACATGGATTTTGCTGGGAAATCTGATATGTCACCTCAGGATTTCATTGACAGAGAAAGTAATGAGCTTTAAAAGGGTGCATTATTACAGGGAAGAAGTGAGAAAGAGAAACATCAAAACTGTAGCTTGTGGCAAAAGTATAATAAAAATTTACTTAATTATTTCTATGCCATGAATTGAACAAATTTTCATCTACAAGTACATTACATAAGGAAGTTCCTAAATAAGTGGCAAACTTTTAACTTAGAATTCTAATTTGTTAACTGTAAATCAACCCTTTCATCTAAATAAATGTAATAAACTGATCTGGTACTTTTTTATTACATAATACATGAATAAATAAATGTACAATGTGCATACTTTTCACAAGCTTCTGCTTGTCTGTGGTTACTATTGTGATTTCTAAAAGAACAATGCAAGAAGAATTTAGGGCACCTGTCTACAGCTTAATCCATGTTCTTATCTGTCCTGTTAGTCTGTTACTGATTTTCTTTTAAACTCCTATTACATGTTTTTTCATTGCATTGTAATAACATACAAATGAGAGGGCAAGGGGCCACAATACTCACCTGGCTCAACTTGGCCTGCTATTTTTTCATCAGAATATTATTTTAAAAAGATTTTTTCCTATGCATTCCTTTGTAAAACTTTTACTGAGGTCCCACCTAACCCCAGTTGGGAGGGGGTGTATTTGAACAAATCTGAATCTAGTATGCTACATGAGGATGCCATAGTGGATACCTAAAGACAATCTATTTTTTTTACTCGTCACCCATGGACAAACTCGTCAAAATATTGTCGTATGTAATTAATATGTGCATGTTATTTGATTAGCTGCTGCACAGAGTAAAGATGGCAAATCAACAAATCACAGTTTACATTACGTATGTATGTTTGGCAATGACAAATACTTTTCCGTAGTTAAAACACCGATTGCAAACAAATCCATTTAGCAGTTAGAGAAAGGTACTCATATATTATTCCCGACTGGTATTTGATACCACTGACCTGTACGACATGTCTTTTATCATTTTAAAACAAAATTTGCATGTTTTAACGGTAGTCACCATATTAGAATAAGCAGCAAACTTATATATGTACTTTCAAAATTGAAGAGTTCCAACTTTCTGATTGGTTGTCTAAAATCGACGAATTTGCATATTTAACAACAATATTTCAATGAATTTGCCCACGGGTCATGAGTAAAAGACGAGATCACTCGTGGGTATCTGTTGATGAAGGATGCTTGCATATCAATATCACTAATCATGGCTTCCTTTCCTTCTTCAAAAGATTTTTAAAGATTTTTTTCCTACAGTAAATATTTCCCTGTAATACTTTGATCATCTGTTGGTAGCCCCATCCTAACCTTTTAGGCTATGATTTAAACAAGCTTAAATTTACACTATCTGAGGATGCTTGCATATTTATTTCAATAATCATAGCCATGGCATATTCTTCAGAAGAGGATTTTTAAAGATTCTTATTAAAAATTTTATCCCTTAATGTGGCTCCATCATGCCCCTGGGGCTATAATTTGAACAAGCTGATTCTACACTACCTGAGAATATTACAAATCATGGTCCTATTGATTTTTAAAGATTTTTTGCTATATATTCCTATGTAAAACTTTGATCCCATATTTGTGACCCCATCCCCAGCCCCGGTGCCCTGATTTGAACAAAACCGAAACTTAAAATTAAGTTACACCTTTTTTGTCCATTGGTTTTTGAGAAGATTTTTATATGAACGCAATCGAATTTTCACAATTTCTTAATGATCTCCCTTTAAAAGAGGGCATAGCTCTTCATTTGAACAAACTTATTTGAATCCTCTTCATCCATTTACACTTTGTGGCAAATTTGGTTGAAATTTGCCCACTGGTTCTGGAGAAGAAGAAAATATGAAAACTTTACAATGCCACTGCTGACACCACCAACAATGACAGACATTGACTTTAATCAGAAAAGTTCTTATGAGCCTTTGGTTCAGGTGAGCTAATAATACTTGGCTCTGTTTTGACCATTTCTATAGCACTAGTGGTGTATCTGCAGTTTCTGAAATACTTCCATGGAGTAGTATTTGAGAAGATGTGATAGAAAGCAGTGGCTATGGCAGTGACATCACAGTAATGGGTGTGTATCATTACCACTATTACCACTACATTTTCAAAATTTTCATTACCGCTACAAAAACGGTTACATTACCGCAACATTTAAAAGTTTGCATTACCACTACATTTTCCCTTTCCTTATCCAGCAGCTTTTGCATGTACAGATTGATTTAAAGTACAACATATATATGTATAAGACCCATTTCCCCTGCTCACCACTGGGAGGTGAATGTAAGGCTTTGAGCAGGATGTTTTTTCCCCACTTTTTAAAATTTCATTTTCTTTTATTTTAATAAAACATTTTAGAAAGTTTTAAAAACAGAGAACTGTTCATGGTCAAATATTGTGGATTTACATGTATAAAACAGTGTAAAACATGAAATAGCTATGTGCAAAACGTATGATAAAAAGAATCCCCGATGGTTTGTGGTTGGATATGATTTTTTTATCCAACTCATGTTTTCTTGTTATCCCCTTTGCTAAGGTTTGGGGATGAACAAAAAAACATGACTCGTTGGATAAAAAAATCATATCCAACCACAAACCAAAGATCATATGTATTGTATATAATAAAAATTGTGTATTTTTTTTCTTGATCTAACATTTTTATTATGCCCCTGTATCGAAGATTCCGGGGCATATAGTTTTTGCCCTGTCCGTCCGTCCGTCTGTCTGTCTGTTTGTCTGTCTGTCTGTTTATCTGTTTGTCCACAAAAACTTTAACATTGCCCATAACTTTTGATTGATTGGAGCTATGACTTTCATATTTCACATGTGTATTTCTTGTGACAAGACCTTTCTTTGGGTACCACCATATTTGACCTTTTGACCTTGACCTAGTTTTACAAAATTTTACCCAACTTTAACCTTGGCCATAACTTTTGAACAGTTGGAGCTAGGGCTTTCATACTTCACATGTGTAATCCTTGTGACAAGTCCTTCCTTTGGATACCAACAACTTTGACCCTTTGACCTTGACCATGGAGTTCGACCCTACTTTTGAAAAACTTTATCCTTGGCCATAATTTGTGAACCATTGGTGCTAGGGCTTTCGTACTTCACATGTGTAATCCTTGTGACAAGACCTTCCTTTGGATATCAACAACTTTGACCCTTTGACCTTGACCTTGGAGTATGACCTACTTTTGGAAAACTTTAACCTTGGCCATAACGTGTGAACCATTGGTGCTAGGGATTTCATACTTCACATATGTAATCCTTGTGACAAGACCTTCTTTTGTATACCAACAATTGTAATCCATTGACCTTGGAGTTTGACCTACTTTTGCAAAACTTAAACCTTGGTCATAACTTTTGAATGATTGGTGCGTCAGCTTTCATATTTCACCAGTATATTTCTTGTGAGAAGGCCTTTCCTTAGGCACCATTATTTTTTACCATTTGACCTTGACCTTGATGTTTGACTTACTTTTGAAAAACTTTAACCTTTTCCATATCTATTCAATGGTTGCTGCTAGGGCTCTCATATTTCACAGGTATATTCCTCAAGACAAGACCTTACTTTGGGTACTAACATATTTGATTTGCATTTGAGAAAGTTTAACCTTTCCTATAAGTTGCCATACGGGGGCATCAGTGTTTCACAAACACATCTTGTTTAAAAAAAATCCCCTTCATTAAAGGTCACAGTGACTTTTATGTATGGTGCTACACCTTCTACCCAAGATGCATTAACTGACCAAGTTTGATGATTCTAGGACTCGTAATTTTCCAGTTATGAGTCTGACAGGATTTTGCCATATTTGGCCATATCATCATAATTAAATGTCACAGCGACCTACTTTTAATGTGCGACACACCTTTTACCCATGATGTATCACTGACAAAGTTCGATTATTCTAGGCCTTATAATATCTGACTAAGTTATGAGCTGGCCATACCATATGTGTCGTCTTAAGATTGACATATGAAAAATGCACCATACCTATAAACTATAACTATAAACTCAACAATGGGAGTAAATTGCCATCTTGGACTTTGAATTTGATTTGGAGAGCTGAACCTGCAAATCAATAAGCTCATATTTGTTTTATGATGATTTCACATGCGCAATGACCAACACATCAGCATTTAGGAAAATCATCGCTGTAGCGATTCAGACCAAGAAAATGAAATAAACATTTAGGTTTATAGATTACAGAAACAGATGCTGAAGTGGGTGGGGATATTTTTTCCAGGATGGCAACTTGCTTCTCTTTTTGTGTTTATAGGTATGGTGCTTTTTTTTTTTTAAAATAGGGTATTTATTGCCTATACTGTATACATGGCTTCATCTTTCTTAAAACAACTTGTTAAGTGACTTAAATTAAAAATCAAATTTAAATTTAATAATTTTATTTTTTAACAATCCAGAAAATGAGCCCCTATGATTAGATCCATCCCCACTGTCCAACAATCTGATACAGATGACATTTAACAATTGGAAGGGGCATAACTCTTTGTCAAGCTAAATCTGTGATAAGATATAATGAAGTACAGTGGAATTACCATCTGCTAACTTTTAATATTTAAGAGTTTTCATTTTTTGGATCTTTAAAGTATAATAAGTTCAGCCATACCTGAGGAATACCACCAGATAATCTGACAGCCCCTGGTCATTAAAGGTTTGTAGTAAGTCTTCTACTGTACACATCTCCAATTTGTTCACGACATCCATGAACTGAAAGCCAAGACTCATATTACGCACAGTGAAACAATTCAGTCTTAAAACATCAGATTTCTTATCAACAGAATTTCAGATGTTTGACATAAATCACACATAACTAAAAGAAAGTAAATCTTTCAAATTGGTAAGGAACATGCAAGATCTGGCGGAAAACTTGTGCCACATCAGCACAAGTACATCATGTCTGTAAGATATACCTGGTGTAAGTGTATACGGTCACCATCCTAATTTTCTGGATACAGTTAACATATCATAAGGAAAATTTATATTAAATTTATAAATATATGGTGTAAAGAACAGTAACTCACATTTTCATGAAAATCATCTATAGTAAATTCTGGAAATCCTAATTGAACTAAGCTATCTCTTGTCTTTTGAGCTACTTCTTTAAATCTACAAAAAAAAAAATATGATTTAATGAAGTATTACATGTAATAATACTATTTTTTATTGAAATGACCTTGGGTCAAAGTCATACGACACACTCTCAGGTCAGATGCAATATTTGTGTCAAGTATGAGCTTCCAAAAGTTTGGCAAGGACAGAATTTTTGCATTTTTTTGAAAGTGACTTTGAATTTGATCAAATGATCTTAAAGGTCATGACACCCTTAGATCCTATACAATCTTTGTGTGAAGTATGAACTTCCAATGTTTCTTCATTTGAAAGTAATAAACATTAATTTTATACTTTTTTATGTCAGATACCCAATACCTTAGGTTGAGATCAAGACATATTCTCAGGTCATTATCAATCTTTGTGTCAAATATGAGCTTCCAATGTGTCTCTAAAGTTATGATCTGGACATGATTGCATGGACAGATAGAAAGACAGCTAGACAGCTATACTACAGACAAAGTGTAGGCTAAGTCTTAAAACTCTCATAAAACTCTCCAATTTTGCCAAATATAAAGTCCCTAACTTGCATGATTCAAAAGTTATTAGGAAGGTTAAAGTTTATGAGAGAAATAAAGAATGACAGATTTTCACACAGAGCAAAAACAATATAAAATATAATCAGTCCCTGGGCAAAAAAATTATTGCACATGCACATACACCATATTATCAATTTCAAAGTACATGCAATATCATTTAAAAAAGTAAAATATTGATATATCAGAGCAAGAAATAATTTCACTGGTCACTTGAGCTATCACCTAAAATTTTTACTGGTCAACTGAATACTTTCACTGTCCCACTGGGCCAGTAGATTTTAAAAAAACTGACCCAAAACTATAATAATAATTGTAATACTTTGTTTACATTGTGATACTTAATAGTACAACTTAACCAAAACAAGGAATGACAGAACATGGACGCAATCTTGTGACTGATAAATGTACTCACCTGCTATAATCTGATTTGTCTTCTACTAATGTTTCAAAATATCGGAATCCAAATGCTCGGTAGAAACAGTTACCATCACCTCTTACTTTGCGCACACATGAGAAACGATTTTTCAAATCCTGCAAAATACAATTTAAGCATAAGATATATATTTTTGAACTACGATTAATCAGCAGAGAATTTGCAATCTTTGCAAGAAATGGAGGAGTTCATGAAGAAGATAAAAGAAATAATTAATAATTGCTTGTGATTTTGATACCTGTACTTTGTGAAGGTAGATTTGATCTTCCTCTGAATATTCAGCACTGAATTCATCAAAACTAATTCTGTTGCTGATCAAGGCTTGGGTCCTAGCAATCTAGAAAGTGCATAAAATGATACAACGAATATAAAGACAAACTTATATATGATCCAAATAATGAAAAGATAGCACACAATTATGTATTAAATAATGAAAAAAACAAAGAAGTTTATCTTACAAATACATGTATTCTGTTTGCTGGAAACACTTTCAATACTTTTACAGTCTTTCATCAGGTGTCATCTTATTCTTATGTGTCCCTAGTGACACTGTAAAAGTATTGAAAGCATTAAAGGTATAGGAGGTTTGGAAGTTGAACATCTTTGTTTTTCATCAATTTATATATACATATAAAAGAACTGTTAAAAATATTTAATATTCAAGATGACTTCTTATTATAATCCAGCTGAATTTTTATTTATCTTTTTTTTTTACTATAAATAAGCATGTACTATCTTGCAGAAAAAAGAAGATGTGTTTGTTAAACTCAGACCCCAAACATGGCCAGGTTGGGATGTCACCAATAGTTCCTGGACATACTAGTTCTGTGATTATGTAAGATTCTGTGGACACAGAATGCTGTTTTCAATTGAAATTTAACGTCAATTACAAACATTGGTATATGATCTAGACTAGTATATTTTGTGCATTATCCCTCAGTTATGGACAAATAGACAAACACGTTGTCCTTGATCCAAGTTCATCTGAAACAGTATTCATAGCTGAATGTGTGCCAAACTTAGAAAAATTTACCTTCAATGGTACAAAAGTAAAAGCCAAATATTAAAGTTTGCACAGACAGAAGGAGGGACCGAAAAGAGATTAAATTATGCTTCCAACCTTTGATCTTTGCGGAAATAAAAACATGGTAATAAATTGTATTATAACATAAAATAAGGCCTGAATGTACATACCTCCTTTTCAATTTCAGACTGTTGTGCTAGAGTTGCTTCATCATAATTCTTATCTGTAATATGGAACACAAGTGATTTTATTTTAAAAACAAATTTATGTAAAAGAATTTAACTTCCTTAAACTATATTTTTAGATAAAAGTTTATAATCTAGCTGATAAATGATTTACCTAAAATGGTATCATTTTCACACAATGTTATATTTTCCACATTAAAAATAATAATATAAAAAAAGCGGCCCAAGAGCCACAATGCTCACATGAGTCGCGCTGGCTCTGCTATTCATTTGAAAGATTTTCCCCTCAATATTCCCATAAAAAATTTCTCCCAAATTCTGGCCCCACCCTTACCCCAAGAAGTCATGCCTTATCTGAAATTTAATCCCGAATGCTTATGGATTCTGAATGCCCTGTCAAGCAAAATTTGATCCTGGATTGTAGTCCCACCTTAACCCCAGTGTCCATAATTGAGTAAACTTGAAGCCACACAATACAGGAATCTTTGCAAATCAGTATGATTCAGTGTCACTCTGCTACCCTTGAATTTTCTAAATATATATTTCCATGTAAAATTTCGAAAACCTATAGGGCCACCCTAGTCCCAGGCCCTGATTTTGACAAATATGAATCTGCACTACATTGAGATGCTTGTACATGTATAATTAAATATGAGTATTTGTTTCAGTTTTTTTTTATTGAGAGGAAGATTTTTAAAGAATTTTCCTGATATATTCCCATGTAAATACTGATTTGATATTGTACTCCCATGACCATAATTTGAACATACTGAAATGGCTGCTCTACCTGAGGATCCTTGCATACTTAAGTGACTAAACATGATCTTCCTGTTCTTGAGAAAAAAGATTTCAAATTAAAACTTTGATCTCCTACTGTGACCCAATCCTACTATCAGCTTCATGATTTGAACAAACTGTAATCTGCATTACTCAAGGAAGCTTGTATGATAATATGACTAATAATTATGGCCTTCCTCTTTTTTGAAAATATTTTTCCCTTTTAATATTTCCATGTGTAAAATTTTGATCCTGTATATTTGCACCATCCTACCCCCAGGGACCATGATTTGAAGAAACTTGAATATTCACTACATGACGATGTCTGCAAATAAATATAGAAAAAACATGGCCTTGCTGGTCTTGAGATTGAAGATTTTTATTTTTAAAGATTTTTCCTATCTGTTCAAAATTCTCCTACTGTGGCCCAAAAAAGGGGCCATGAATTGAACATATTTGAATCCACACTTTGTCAGGAATAGTTCACAAATAATCGCATGGCCCTTCATTTAAATAAATTAGAATTCCTTTTACCCAAGTTAGGTTGAAACTGGCCCAGTGGTTCTTGAGAAGAAAATGAAAATGTGAAAAAAAAAAAAAAATGACAACAACAGAAAAGGACAAATTTTACCAAAAACACTCACTTCAGCCTTTAGCACCTTAGCTCAAGAGAGCTAAAAACATGTACAGTAAAACTTGTTTAGTAAGAACACCGATATAAAATATTTATAGATAAAGCAGTTTTTTTGGTCCCTGGAAAAATTCTTAATATGACAAACCAGCTGAGGTAAATGGAATGCGGGATGGTTCACCCCCAAAGACCATTCATGTTGATACGTTTCACCCCAAGATGATTCGTGCTGATGGTCAAGTAATGACCTTCTTTCATTAAGAGGTAATTATCCCTTGTTAGTAGTAATTATTAACTTTTAAATAACTTTTGCATTATTTTGTATTATTTCAAGGACCATTCTGTATTACTATAATTGTGTATTATTTTCTTCATTAAATAAAGTATTACCAAGGCATTTATATATTTTTGTTTATTAATAATGATATTTTGATCTAGAGCAAAATGGTTAAGTAAGTAAGGCCATAATAAAAAAATTCCTAGATTCTCATCCGAATTTTATGAAAAATCTAGGCGGGTGGGTGGATTTTATTTTCTATTTTTTATTTTTTCCATTGTGCAGATTTTTTGTTGACCTGATCAATCGGTGCAGATTTGTCTATAATGCCGAATAAAAGTCATAGTAGAGGTCCATTTAAATATGCATATCTCTTACTACACATCATCACCAATCTTTCACAACCAATGATCCTTGTTTAATAAATATTACAGCAATTACTATATTGTCTGCTGTTAAAATCATGCTGACATTCGCGGGATTTAAATCGAAAGTTGAATGGTAGTTGAATACCGATCCCGATCAGAATCAAGATGAAGAAAACAGAAATAAAAAAAACCGAGGTGGGGGTAAAAAATCGGGGCAGGCGGGGATGAGAATCTAGGAATTTTTTTATTATGGCCTAAACAATATTTTATAGTGATATGTACAGTACAATGATTAATATTTTATCCAAATTAACTATCCATACAACTGACCCATACACATATGAGGGGTGATCAAAAAGTTTGAGAACTAATTGAATTACTTCCAAGAAATAAAATTAGGTTTCAGTGTTTATTATTTTATAATTTAATTTTGTTTGTATTCTAGCCTCTGATTGGTTAATATCCAAAAAGGAACACAAATTATTTCTGTATAACCTGGTTTGGTATGGGGACACACCCCCCCGACAACAGCTGAATCGTCTGTATCCATGCAATCCTCTCATTTCCAGTCCTCAGGATTCATGAAAAATTCCAGATTTAATAAATGTACCTTTAGCTTCAAACAGGAACTCGGATCTTACCACATGTAAACAAAAAACATGGCTGCTAGGACTATGTATCAGTTTTTACCTCCCCTTGCTTCCCATCACTTCCGTTACTAGGGTTGTATTATTGAGCGGCAAATTTGAACTAATAAAAAGCAACGAAATTTTACACCCACAGTTGTTTAATGATTTTAGAATTAAATTATAAGGAATGACTCTAATTCTTGGCCAAATTATTCGAGTATAACCTGGTTTGGGTCAGTTTACGCTGTTTTATAATCCGCTTCGCGGATTATAAAGCGTAAACTGACCCAAACCAGGTTATACTCGAATAATTTGGCCAAGAATTAGAGTCATTCCTAAATTAAAGTAGTCCTCTCTGATTTAAATGCTCATCTGCCACCATTCCGCCCATGCGTGAACCATGTTATCCAGGTGGTAGCGTGACATGCTCCTTAGCATTCTGTTCACAGAAGTTAAGAGATTATTTCTTACAATGCAAGTTATTTCTTATAACAAGAATAGTCCATTTGTCACAAATGGCCAAAGCTCGGCAATAGGAGGGGTGGATAAAAATATCTTTTCCCAGAATGAGCATGGTTACCATCACAACCCAACTCCTTTGTCTTGGGTGCATCGTTTATCCATTGTGGATAAAGTATGGGTGCCTTCTTTTTATCATATCTGATATGATATATAAAGTCTAAAGTAAACGATATTTTAGAGATTTAATAATTATATTATTGTTAAGATATTCAACTATTTTTGTAACTGTAACTTGGCGATCTTTCATAACAAACTGCTCAACTAAGGACACACATCTTCCCCAGCTTTCTTTCACTGGGCACAAGAACAAACATCACTTTTAACTATCTCTCTTCCTTCACTAAAACAATCAATCTAATTAATGATTGTCTTCTGGCAAATCTTTTATCTTCATAAACCTTGTACAAATTATTATATGCTACTGCAAAGGAATTTCCAAGATACATGTTAACTTAAAGCCGTTGGTTGCTCGAATACAAATGAGTCAACCATTTTTTGTCACAAGTCATCTACATATTGACATCATTTTCACATTGTGACGCCACAAACATGGAGCAAACATAATGTAACTTCTGCTATTTATAGAATGTTTATGACTTTAAGAGTGCCAAATTTCATTTTAATCCAAATTGTGGTTTTATAAAGAAAGCAAACTTTTTGATCATCCCTTGTAATTATGCTTCTCACAGCTTTTTCTCATTATGCTTGTTATCAGAGACTGCAATTAAAGTTTTTTTGGATAAAAAAAAGGACTTTCTAAATTGGACATAAACAACTTATAACGTAATAATACGTTTAAGTTTAACAACATATTTCCAAGTTCACTTCAGGAGGGGGGAGCAGCAGAAATAATTGACACATAGCCTGCATAGACATCTATTCAAATCTTGTTTGTTTTATTTTTTTTGCTTTCTTGTAATGCAAAATTTCCACTTTTCATAATGACGCTTACGGCTTCTGACGTTTTCCTGGCATGTCAAATATCAAAATCGTGAAAAACACCTAGAAAAAGTAAGATATTTCAGACTAATATTGATTATATTTGGCGTGAAACATCTCAGCGTAAAATGTCTTTTGGGGAGATTGGATGAATTGTCAATTATGGGGCCAAAGGTCTCATTACCAGGTATATGTATTTGTTAATAAGCATTCAATTTTAATTTCCTGTTGATGAATCTAATGTTTAAACCACTGATCATTTGAGTCTTGAACTAATCAGGTAAGTTAATTCAAACATTAATCTTGCATGAAAACAGAGAAATTAGTACAGTCAAAGGATCAAGGAAAAAATTACTTATTATCAGATTATCATGCACTTTTTCTTAACCTGTTTTTTTGTGAAAACTCCACTTCAAAAGAAAATATTTCAACAAATTTTATATAACACAAATATTCATGTTATAAAAATTCATATTCCATTAGTTAAAGTCCACAGTACAGATCATGCAAAATTCTGATAACATGCCGACCAGGAAACATCATCTGATCATGTATGAATTGGTCATGATGGTTGTTCCAAATAATATTATGATCTATGTATTTTTTTATACGTCACAGTTGCTTTGATCTCTGTATCTACACCTAACCTTCAAATTATGAACGATTCTAACGGGAAACACAGACAAAATTATAAATTGTACCTGGATCAAAATGAAAATTTTCCGCCATCATGAAAAGTTCCGAATGCTCATGAAAGTGAAAATAGATGAAGTGCGAGTATATCCGAGTGAAGAATTGTTTGGCCCCTGTGACGTCACAATCCCGTACGTAGTGACAAAAGGCGGCACATTTCAAGAGATGGCAAAAGGTAATTTTATATTTTTATTTTTATCCCTTAAATTACACTAATGGGCCTTACGCATATAAACTAATCACATTTATTGTAATCATTACTTCTGGAATTTGGTCAAAGACATGAAAGCAAAATAATTTCCATCTTCTATTTGAGGGAGGGCTTCTAGCTCCCTATGAATAAATTTTGCAATGAACTTCAGTCAGGACTGTGAGTTCTCAGTAACCTTTTGTTGCTTTAAGGGGGATTGACACTTCGCCATTTTTAAAAGCTGATAAAAGAATAAATGCTTACATAAAGCGAAACATAAATAAAATAGAGTATAAATCAGACGTCTCTCGGTATAGTTTTCTAACACCACCATGTACAGAAAACTACAGTTATCTACATTTTACTAGCTATTTCAAATATTTGTTGCTAGGGAAAATGTTGTTAGAAACAAAACAGGAGTCAAAGGGATTCACACTACCAAGCACTCAGCTGTATACGGTGTAAATGTAACTGGTTTATTTCAAGTATTCGTGTCACAAAAAGCAAAGTGGTAAAACCCTTTTCTAATGAAAATTAAACCAGTTATAGTTCTGCATACCAGGAACACCATTTGTATTATGATATATATCAACAATATTTAATCCTGACATTCTTTGCCCTTTTGACCCCCCCTTTCCCACCCCATCCCGGTCCTCTAGAACCATCTTCATTTTGCACTACCCTGTAATTCTTTCATGATAGATTTAAAAAACTAAAACTGTTGTAACAAGACTCAAATTTAAAGTAGCCCAGATTCTTTGATTCTTTGGTTGTATGATCCCAAAACTAAATCCAGATCCGCTTCCCTCTGTTTACACTTCAAATAGTCAAGTTAAATTCAATGTATGCGATAATCCTGCATAAAACTTGCCAGTAAAATAGCGACCCAGGTTAGTAGATAAATGTATGACAAAAAATCTATAACCTCGCCTTAAATTGTCAACTACGGCTAAATTTAAATTTTTTTTCGCTGTCAAAGTTTAATCTTATTGATGGTAAAATATTACGTCACTTCAGTTGGATATACACTAGTACTTTTAGCACCTCTATGGTAATACGTGAATTAAACTGTTATACTGTTTCAGAAATTTTCTCTTAAATTTTATTATCGATGTATTTCAGGGTTTTACTCTAAAATTTTATTATCGATGTATATGGAGGTATATTTCTTTTGTTTGCCTGAAGTTCTACATGTAATGTATCATGAAAAAAAAAAAAGATTCTTAATATTAAAAAAAAAAAAACAATTTCAAGAACCATTATCATGCTGAATAATAATTTGAAGAACTGTATACATGATATTTAGGTGGCATTTATCCTACCAAAACCACAGCGTTACTCGCGTACACATTCTACTGTGACTTAATTACTGGCGAGAAAATGCACGAAATGCTAGAAAATCCAATGTACTTGGTGTTTACAATAAATTAGCGGGTCTGGCTATTATTTTAAGTGCCCGGGGCCACGAAATGGGTGGTGAGACCCCTAGGGTCACACGGAGAAAAATTAAATCAACTGTTACTAAACCACAAGGTCCGACAGTAAAATAAATGACGTTCCGCTTTTACTGGAGGGATTTCTACTAATGATGCAGAAGTCAATCTTGGTCTGAAACGAAGTTTCCATAACAGTTAGGAAATACACCTGTGCAATTTTTATTGAGCCAAAAATAGGGGAAAAGGTGATAAAAGACGACAGGATTTAGGATCTATAAGTTTAAATACCGAGCTTTATATCGATTTCACAATGGAGACTTACATAAGAAGTTAAAACACTTATGTAGACACCAGAAATAATTTGGGAAAAAATCAGATCACAACATTTTGATCGATCCGTTTAAAAATATTTACTATAGGCCGCATTCGGATGACCGGATTAAACGATTTGGAGTTGTCTGTACATAAAACCTTAATGTTTCCATAGTTAATTAAACAACCAGGCAGGAATTCACGAAAGGTTTCTGTGAGCCAGATTCGCCGACCCGTTTTTGACCTTCTGCAAGATGATGTTTAATTGCCTTTGTTGACAGTCGAGGACACAGGTTCTTATATACGTGCATATTTTACTTTCAAATACATCTGCTTATGTATGGAAAACTCGCAAAATATATCAGGTAATTTTTTGAAAATATAATTTGCAATTATATACATGTATATAATATTATATGTAATATATATACATAGATGTAAGTTCCGGGTTTTAAAAAGCGTGCATAACGAGCTTAATTCGAGGCCTTTTCGTCTCCTGCATTTTTAAATAATGAGGAAAAATCATTATTTCTAAAACAGATAATTCCATTTATAAATGTTTTTTTGAAATTGAAAGTTATGGTTGAAGCTCCGTTAACTCGGTCAATTCGTAGATGTATGATTAAATAATGCGACAACTGTCCACACTTCATGTACTAGTATATAAATATATCATACAAATGATTTTTTTAAGTATTTGCATGTTCATTATAATCAGACTATATTCAATGTTTTACAATTACTTTGGAATGATGGGATATTTGTGTACATAAATTGTGATGTGGTGGCTTCAATTGCTGTTAAGAATGGTTTGTTAATCATTACGATAAGTCAACAAATTAGATAATTGTACATGTATCTAACACCTGTTAGGCATGTTTAAACCTTTCTTATTAGAATAATTAATAAAACTAACAATGTAAATTAATGAAACATAAGAGGATTATCTTTAAGAAGTTTTAAACAATTAAATCCAGAACGTTATTTTCAGCTCTTTTTGTCAAAGACCAGAAGAGCTTATGGTCAGATGTCCGTGTTCCAGTTGTCTGTTTGTTTGTCCGCCTGTCTATAAATAATTTTCAAATTGCAAATCCTCCTATATATTTGGTCTGATTTCAATAAAACTTGATACAGAAGACTACACTAAGATACGTAATTCTCTTATCTGTCTCTACTGTTTTATTTCGATGTGACCATATCAATCGTCGACGATATGACCATATCAATCGTCGATATACCATTTTCTGATCATATGCAATAATTTTATTTTGTTGATGTGTGAAGTTTCATTCCACGTGATTCAATATAAATCATATTACTTAATTTTAAAATCACCATGTTTTGTAACTCAATAACATTGAAACGTCAAAAACATAGCGTCAAATTTTTTTTTTAAAAATACTCTCCCTAAACATTTTACAGTCTGGCCCAACACCCACTCATTAAAAACGTTTCTGTGTCACTTAAAATTTATTTTGCTAACAATATTAAATGTTCCGCGGTAGTTTATTTTCGATGTTTCAGCAGGTTAAGAGTCTTGGGAACGTATAATAAATGCAATATTTAACAACCAAAAAATGATTTCTTAATCTTAATATGTGTATTTTTGGTCAGAAAAGGGGGGTGGTGTGACCCCCCCCCCCCCCGTCCCCTCTAAATCCACGAGTTAGGAGTTACTAACTCCTTCCCTCACAGATCGTCCTGGTTTGATACAGAGTTTCAATCATTCAGATACTGCCTGTGTCATTTATACACACATGCAGACTCCTTTTTGATATATTCCTGCTTCTTCTAACATTTTCAGAGTTTATTCTGTAGTACAACAAAATATTGTATCGTTAGTTGCTGCTCCGTGACGTTCTAAGACGTCATCTTTTTAAAAGGCCATTTTCAATGACGACTACTCTATCTTCTGAAATTGATTTCCTTTCAGCGAAGCAAAATATTAATTCATAATTTGGAATATGAAACAATATAACAATTCTTAATTAGAACGTCTACGATTTTTTTTTGTTTTTGCGCCATTTCACAGAGATATGACTACAGACATTAAATTACGAATTTTTTAGCTGCTGCGCAATCCCAATGTAGCAGTTTTTAATTCTGAATAAGTTATGAGATATTTTTGAAATTTTTCATACACATCATTCGAATTTATTGTTGAAACTTTCTACCAAAATAGGATATTATTGACATTAAGAAACAAAATTATGCCAAAAGTCTGCTAACTTTCCGAACAACTCTCGTATTAATTAGTATTGTAATTGGTGTATGGCACACACATGTAAATAAATGGTACTGATAAATTATAATAATTTCTCGAAATCACAGGCACTTGGGGTCTGGACCCCCCCCCCCCTTTTCCATTTTTTTTTCTTTTTAAATATGGGGTCGGGTCACCTTTTTCCTATTTTTGTATTCTAATATGCGCTATATGTTATCAATAATGGAACTCTTTTGTCTCTATATGCTGTTTTTAAATATACTGTTTTCGACTGATACATAAAAAGAGAGAAGGCTTGCAACTCTTTTCTCGTCGTCTGCCTCACCTCGCTTAAACTTCGCCTGATTATTTATCTAAAGCATAAGAACAAATGTACGGAAGCCGGTTGGTGCCAGGTAGAAAAAATATTTTATCTGGCGGCCGCCAAATAATTATCTGGCGGCCGCCACATAAATAACTGGCGGCCGCCAGAAACTTATCTGGCGGCCGCCAAATAATTTTCTGGCGGCCGCCAGAAAGTTATTTGGCGGCCGCCAGAAATTATCTGGCGGCCGCCAAATAATTATCTGGCGGCCGCCAGATAAGTTATCTGGCGGCCGCCAGAAAGTTATCTGACGGCCGCCAAATATTTATCTGGCGGCCGCCAAATAATTTTCTGGCGGCCGCCACATAAATAACTGGCGGCCGCCAGAAACTTATCTGGCGGCCGCCAAATAATTTTCTGGCGGCCGCCAGATAAAAAGATCTGGCGGCCGCCAGAAAGTTATCTGACGGCCGTCAAATATTTATCTGGCGGCCGCCAGAAAGTTATCTGGCGGCCGCCAGATAATTATTTGGCGGCCGCCAGATAACTTTCTGGCGGCCGCCAGATAAGTTATCTGGCGGCCGCCAGATCTTTTTATCTGGCGGCCGCCAGATCTTTTTATCTGGCGGCCGCCAGAAAATTATATGGCGGCCGCCAGATAAGTTTCTGGCGGCCGCCAGATAGGTTTCTGGCGGCCGCCAGTTATTTATCTGGCGGCCGCCAGATAATTATTTGGCGGCCGCCAGAAACTTATCTGGCGGCCACCAGATAAAATATTTTTCTACCTGGCACCTACCGGCTTCCGTACAAATGGAATATGCATACATCAATAAATTTGTTACACATTCTTCTTCCTTTTCATATTTCCATTTAATTTTTATGTACCCCCGATTTGTAAATATTTCGATTAAATCAACCGCATCTAGGGTAAATTTTGTTGATGTGCACTAGCTGGGACGGAAGTGTCCGGTATTTTCGGGCGTCATCATTAAGTGTAATGTCATTCGGAACTTTAAATGAAAGAGGGAAAAAATCCCGAATTTTCTCTTCATAATATATGTAACGGTAAGTTTTGTGTATAACAAGATAACTCTAACTAGCAGATTCTAATGGATGAAGATTAACATTTAACATACGACTTAGACAACCAAATTTCTCAATATTTTTATTTCAAAGCTTGGAATTTTTATTTAATATGAACATTTGTAAAGTTAGAGTTACCGATTGCACTTCCGTCCCAGCTAGTGCACATCAACAAAATTTACCCTAGATGCGGTTGATTTAATCGAACTATTTACAAATCGGGGGCACATAAAAATTAAATGGAAATATGAAAAGGAAGAAGAATGTGTAACAAATTTATTGATGTATGCATATTCCATGTATTCTTATGCTTTAGATAAATAATCAGGCGAAGTTTAAGCGAGGTGAGGCAGACGACGAGAAAAGAGTTGCAAGCCTTCTCTCTTTTTATGTATCAGTCGAAAACGGTATATTTAAAAACAGCATATAGAGACAAAAGAGTTACATTATTGATAACATATAGTGCATATTAGAATACAAAAATAGGAAAAAGGTGACTCGACCCCATATTTAAAAAGAAAAAAAAATGGAAAAGGGGGGGGGGTCCAGACCCCAAGTGCCTGTGCTCGAAATATCGGAAAAAGAAGTAATATACATGTAAATTACTTGTCCTTAATTACCATGTGAATCCTAACCCAAATTTCACCTTGTTATCTTGATTTAGTATGAACTACATTTTGTTTATTAATAAGAAATATACACTGCAAACATGATAGATTTTGTTTAAAACAGACTTTTTTAGTCTATCCATTTTTCATTTGAGCTCAATTTATTAGCATTAAGTTGTCGAAACATGATTTTTTTGGAATATCAAGATTTTGGCAGACCTCGAACTTCTTAAGTACATAATTGACGCCGAAGATACAAGCATAACTGCATTCTTCAATGCCAATGTTATCGAATCTTTAATGATAAGTTTAATCACATGTATTATTTCAAAAGAAAAAAAAAACGTTCATAGATGTATATCTTCATTGGCATTCAAAGATACACTATGTTTTACTGCCCCTATATTTAAGTTATTTTTCTATAGATTATGTCGTCATTCAAGATAATTATGTCAACATGCAACATAAATCTGTCGACATGTAACTCATTTACATTGACTTCCAACTTATTTACATGTATGTGGACATGCAACTTATTTATGTCAACAAGCATGTAACATAAATAAGTTGAATGATGATATAAAAAAAGATACATGTCAACATAAAAAAAAATCTGCATGCCGAGATAAATTAGTATATAGCCTGATGGAAATCACTTTTGGACGCTATTTGATTTCCACATTCTTATTTGATCCTTTTTTTTTTTTTTTTTTTTTTTTGCATAGTTGCATTTCATGTTGACAAGTTTATGTTGCATGTTAACATAATTATGATGCATGTCGACATAATTTTTATTAGAAAAAAAAACTTGCAATTGCATGTAGGGGATAGAAATATGCCAGCATATTTTATCTAACCCTTTATCAGATAACCAGAAAAAAATTGTCGATTTCTTATTGTTATTTTTACATATATAAGAGATAGGCCCTATTTTTGGACTAGAGACGTTTGACTTCTAAAAGTAAAGCTTCGAACTGAATGTAGAATAAGAATTTATTGCACAAAATCATATGATCAAAGAACTATATTATACACGAAAAAGTTACGCATGTCCACAATATGATAAAAAAAATATATATATCGCGATGATACAGGGTTTATATGTAATCATAAAAAGGAAAATTTTTATCGTTAATTACAAACATTTTAAAAGTTCTACACATTGAGAGATTGTGACCAGAGATTGATTGGCAAGTTAAGTCTCGGTAGCTTATATCAGATTCCTATTTATTATTTTAACTAGACCAATGCAACGTATATTGCGACCTCGCTGGTAGGGTAAAGGTTTGAAGGGGTCGTTGAATTCTGCACAAAAACGGGGACATAAAAACTAGCTATAGGATATTTATTATCAGAATTTAAAAGAATGACTTAAATCTCTGAAGCCTCCTAAACTCCTAACATTTCCAGCTGACTAACTTGCATTGTCCACAAAGTCCTTGATATAAAGATTCAACAAATATAGTGGGAGGGAAAAGAGATTCAGAAGCTCCGTTATGCGGGTATTTTTTTTTCCATCTCCTATTAGAATACTTTAGTATTTCCTCGTTGAGAAGTATCTAAAAACATCCAAAGTTTTTATTTGCACTTGTAAAGTACGGAATACATGGTTTGTGATTTCTTCCTCGTATGACGGAAACTAGGATGTAAATATTACATCACGGTGAGAAATGTCTGGAACTAAAGGTTGTGTAAAATCAGATGAAGGTAAAACAATGTTTCAGTCTATCACTTTTTATATGATTCCTAAATGATTCAGATTTCTAGTCATTGGACAAGTTTTTGTTCTTTTTTTGGTAAAAAAAAAAAAAACAAAAAACAAACAAACAAAAACAAAACAAAACAAAAACAAAAATCTTGAACACATACTTACAAAAAACAAAGTTTGACGATTAAATGAATAATTTTTAGGTAATAAAATGTTACTTTTAACGTGGTATAAGCTTTTTTTTTATGTTTCTTCTTCACATTAACTGGCACCTAAACTTGTCAAACATTACACTACACAGACCATTCACGGTAGTATTGTAGACTTTAAACTTTTCATTTTTAATTTTGCATTATATATGATAAACCTTTACTCTACTAGTATATATTTACATATTTCCGTTGTGTCAATGATATATTTGATAAATTCTACATTAGTTGGTTTTTCTCAAGGTATTTTTATCTGACTAAAATGTTGACAATTTTTCTTTCACAAAAAACGAGGAAAATATTTTTTCGAAAAGAATTGTAGGGGAAATACATATTGTATTACAGAGTATCCATATAAAAGATTACAAGATATGCAGTGTGTACCCGCATTTCCTGAATCTTTTCAAGATACGAGTTAAATTGTAGTTGTTGCAGTTCCTGCTTCAGAAATAAGTAATTAATTCGAAGAGGAATGAATGAAGTCAGCATAATTATACATGTAGAAGAAAAACAAATGTTATGTCGAAAAGGCTATGTGTTGAAAGGGTGTGTGTGTGTTAAATTATTAGTAATAAAATATACACAGTTTTGTTTAGTAGTAGAGGGAATAGAGAGTAAGGATAGATATACCAAAAGTGTTGTAGTTTTCTTAAAGTCTATAAATAGACTATCAATTGTTAGGATTTTATGGCCCTTTTTGATCTGCTTTCTTACTTTTTTCTGATTTCTAAGAGACACGCGGTATTCTTGAAACACCGAGTATGATATTTACATTTTTTTTTTTCAGATCGGAAGGGCACACCCAAGATATTACAGCTGATACGTCAGGCTCAGGGACTAGCCCCCAACCCTGAGGAGGAGTCTGCCCTCAAGAAACTCACACCCCACGTGCCTGGGATCGTCACATTTGCCAATCATTCACGTGCGCTGCCATGGACAACTTCCTATAGCACAGTGCTCATGTTTGCTGATATATCAGGTTACTAAATATAAATGATTTAAAACTATATATATATTCCTAATATGAGGATTTAAAACTATATACATGTATATTCCTAATATGAGGTCGATACATTGAAATATCGACATCACAAAAAGCAAATCAACCTTGCACTTCATGTTCGGTCGATATGCTTTTCTGTGAAGTCGATGTATCAATGAATGCATTCATTAAATGCAAATTAGAAGGTTTTATTTGTTATTTAAATTCTTTCGGACAGACAAGAAAGTAAAAGTCATAATATTAGAATTTGTATGGGTTTTTTTTTTTTAGATAATTCCCATGAATGCCTGACAAACAAACCCGATTTTATTAATCAAATGAGCACTTTTAAACAGTATTTCAAACAGTAATTAATGTTTCTGATTTTACATCCCAAAAAGTTAAGCTGAAGATTGTTGTCACAAATACTTCGATCTCTATTTTAACTAAAAATATAATAACATAATCATCAAAATTATTTGGAAACAAAACATTCGGCTGTTCAGTATGATGTAGCGAATATAATCTTTGTGTATGTGCCTAGAAGCACACCAAATGAACGCTGTAAAGCACGAGGCTACTGTTGTGTGTCCTGTTGCAGAATCTTACTTGACAAAATATGCCAGAAAGGACAATAATATATATATATATATATATATATATATATATATATATATATATATATATATATATATATATATATATATACTCTCCAAGCCCTTTCACGTGATGCACGATCTGACACTGTAGCCTGAATTATTTATAAACACAAAATGCATGACAAGAATATGTGCCAATTACGAACAACTATAAAGCAATCCAAAACAAAAGACGGGCTTAAGTCAAGTGTAGACGTCTTTTCTTACAATGAAGATAATTGTAAGTATAGTTGATTCAGGTCTGAAAGTACATCATAATACTGTATATCACTTTGGGGCTGAATCAATGATGTATTCCTACATGATACCCAAAACTGGTGTTTTACTCCGGGAAAAACTCAGCTTATTAGCAACCAAACTGATAAGTTTTTCAAGAGTCTATCCCTAATATTTAATATTTGCACATTTCAATTTTTTTTTTATGATAATGTAAGAAACGGACATGAAATGATAGAATGTAAGTTCAGATAAAATAAACACGTTTATCAGATATTCAAGAAAACTTTTGCAAGAATAGGGCCAAAAATATTGTAAAAGATGAGAAATGTCCCCAATCTTTTTAGGTTTTACTGCACTGTGTGAGAAGTACGGCGCTAAACAGAATGCAGGCATAGATCAACTTACCAAAACTCTCAATGCTTATCTAGGAGAAATTGTAGAAAATATCATTTCATCAGAAGGCGATGTTTTAAAATTTGCAGGTAAGATCCGATATGTTTTATCTATAAGTGTATTATTTAATATAAAGATTTTTATACCCGAACTTTCTAAAGAAATTATGAGTATATTAATTGTCATCCTGGTCGATCCGTTTGCCCGTCTGTCACACTCTTCTTCCTCAAAGTCCTCTTGTATATTAAGTTGTAGCCAATTTATCTTCTGGAATATGATAGGTGTTGTCCTGTGGAAGTGCAATAAGATTTTAAATTTTCAGTATAAAAATAGGCCAAATTGGGGGCCTAAATTGATACCTTCGAAATCACCTTTCTCAAACTCCTCTTCCATTTTAAGCAGTAACCAATTCATTCTTTGATGTGTATGTTGTATCCTGTAGATCTGCAGTATGGTTTGGGAATTTTCATTTTCATCTCTTGGGCCAACTGTGGGTCGAGAGATGACGTTTTTCGACAAACTCTTCTTCCTCTAATTCCTCTAACATTTTAAGCAGTAACCAATTCATCTTTCAGAATATGATAGATGGTGTCCTTTGGACGTACAATTCACAGCTTCTTGTTTCTATAATAATTTTTTAACCTGGTATAACATAATAATTACTATACTATGGGTTAAAAAAATATTACAGAAACAAGTGCCTGTGGTACTGTTAAGAAATTTTATTTTTAACCCAATGGTTAATTAGCGGGTCGAAAAAAGAACTTTTTTTCTATAAAATCCTATTACCCAAACTCCTGTTAGATTTGAAGCAGTATTCAATTTATTTTCTGGAATTTGATAGGTAGATTCCTGTAGATGTGCAATAAGGTTTCAGAAATTTCCTTTTTTTTCCTAGGGGTGGGGGTATTGGGGGTAGAAAACGATGTTTTTCTATAAAATCTTCCTCAAACTTCTCATAGATTTTACATAGTAACCAATTTATCTTTTGGAATATTAATGATGAACATAAGGTTTTATCATAAACAATTGCTTCTACTCTGGGGGTTGAAAAGCAAAGTTTTTTCCTACAAAATACGCAAACTCCCCTTACATTTTACGCAGTAGCCATATCATCTTTTGGAATATGATACTTATGTCCTGTAGATATGCAATAGGGTTTCGGAATTTTTTCAATTCAGCAGGCTTTTTGGTGATCGAAATTTGCTTATCTAACGCAAAATTTCCAATAATTTAAAAAAAAAGTTAATGCTTCTTTAAATTCTTTAGTTGCAGCCTGGTTATGAATTTATTGTATGAACGACTAACATAAGAGGCACGTGGGTTGCATCTGAGCATCTTATGTACAATTTGATACATGTATATTTATGTTATTTAGGAAACAACTATTGTTGCTTCTTTATTAGTTACGCAGCTACGAAGGAGGATAATTTTAGAGGCATACACTTACATCGGGTGTTAATGTCCTATGATAGCATCTAGTTTTACCTAGTATTCGTATTCTAATGAGAGAAAAAAAATCGTCATTGCATATTTTACTATAGCTCTTATTAATAAATACTATTAATATTATGAAATAAAAAAATATATACCATGTGCATGTCCTTGGTAACACACTTTACCCAAGAAGAGAGAAAAAAAGAATGTTTATCAACATTATACGAATACTTAATAGAAATGGATTCTGTATACTAGTAACTATATGAACGAAAAGTAAAAAAAGTATTACAGTTAGGATATACGTACATATTACGCCATGCCTGCTTGCTTTAATGGTATATATAAGAAGCAAAGTTTTAAATAGAACAACGGTAAAACTGATCATTATTTGCTTACTTAAAATCGTTCAACATAAATTTTGAATTACAAAAGTATTTTATTTGCAAATGAGTAAACTTTTGAATTTTTGATCCCTTCGTTCAGGAGATGCTATATTGTCTGTGTGGAGGGTAAATGACGAAACCGAACTCGGTACCACGGTGGACCAAGTGATCAAGTGCTGTCTCAACATCCAGAATAAATGTGGTGCGTGGGAGACGGACATCGGTGTTACACTCACCGTTAAAATGGGTAAAAAAAAAGAAACACCATAGATTTTTCTAGTTTTACAAACACTTGAATATTTTTTTAACTTTCTGTTTAATAGTTAAGCTGTTCCTTGATAGTACTACTAATGAATAATAAGAAACATTAAAAAGGGCTAAAAGATGAGGGTGTCTTTCAAATGTCCATTTTTTTCATTTGACTTTTTATTGCACGAATTTTTTTTTTCAGTACTTAGCTTAATTAATGTTTTATTTTCTTTGTAAAAAAGTAGTAGTACAAATACTATGGTACGTCACTGTACCATAGATCTTGATTTCTTCATTTAAGAAGATGAGAAAAAATAATTGAAAATCGACGATGGATTCTATTTTTATTAGGAGTGTCTGCTGGAGAAATGTCCGTGACGTTCCTGGGAAATGACGAATTCCGTGTTTACGTAGAACTTGGTCCAGCCGTCCGTGACGTCAATGTAGCGGAACATTTTTGTGAGGCAGGGCACATCGTTCTTTCACCCCGGGCATGGGAACTCTCTTGTCATAGTCTTTATAATCACGAACTGTTACCTGACGGACAATACGCACGTGTAAGTCTTTCCAACAGTACTCATAGTTTCAACAAAAGATTTTACAAGAAGAGAGGAAACTCTCTGCGCTAAATCTAATTTTTCATATATTTCTTGAAATTATACCCGAACTTAGATTCATAATGACAATTGCTTCAACATGCAAAAATTTCACTAAAACTATGATTGATTTAAGAATTAAATAGGCGTTTACTTCAAATCCACATGTCAGATACGAAAGTCAATCAAAAGTACTTTAATTGTGGGGGCGTTTGTTTCCAAAATCATGTCTTAATCATGAAGGCAAACAGTTAAACGCAGAATATTTTTATTTTTTGTTTGTTTACTTACCGTATCCTTATCTAATATATAGTAGACATATTGTGTCTTGAAGTAAAAATCAAGATTTTAATCTAAAGTGTTTTTTTTTTTTTTTTTTTTTTTTGAAATTCTATATTCATTCGTGAAATGATGCTTATTTTCTTTGTTTATTTTTCATATTACATATATAAAGTGTTATTTAATTAATTCAAAATATTAAGGTTCATTGTCCCTCTGCTGACTCATTTAAAAAAATTAAAAATAAATTAGTATTTTATATTACATCAAACAGTATGAATTGTTTCAAGCCATATCAGTTTATGTATTTTTTCTATTTCACAATCAGTTATAGTACTTACTTCATTTATTCTGATTGTAAACTGTTGCTTTACTTCAGGTATAATGTAATTTTTTCCGATACCACAGTATAGTGGTGGTGTTGAAGAGCGAAACTACAGTGTTGTTTTTATATTTACGTCAATAGTATAAAGTGTGCATTCCACATTATAACAATGATTCTATATTCATTCACGAAGTGATGCTCACTTTGTTTTTTTTCATATTGCATGTATGTAGAGTTTTATTGAATAAATTCCGGTATTAGGTGATGTTTCTATTTTTTTCTTTCAGATTATTTCATTTTGGAGGGCGCGTTCCTCCGTGTCAGAATCGCAAAGAGATGGACCTCTCTGGTTTATGCGAAGTTAGTATTAGAATGAGTCTCCCTCTCTCCCTCTCTTCCTCCCCCTCTCTCTCACTATCGATTTTAATTTCCGTGCAATGGTGAAGTCCGGTGTTCTTTAGCAAAGGTTCTTGGGGAAGGTTTTCTCATATAAATATATATATGACTCCAAAGTGCGACGGGACTCCAAAGTCCGATGGTCTGCGCCAAACCCTGATGGTTTGCCACGCCAAAGTCCGATGGTGCCGAAAACAACGTTTGTGACGTCATAGTACTACTGCGCCTTAAATAAATACAAATAAATATTATATGCGAGGACTAACCCTAATCTCTCGGATAGGTGCGACACTAACCCTAATCGGTCAAAAATTGTGTAAGAACTATAACCTAGAGATAACTTGGGTGGGTGCGAGACACACTCTAAAATAGTGCAGTCGCATAGTGCGAAGGTATCCCATAATTAGTCCTATAGTGTGCAAGGACTAACCCTGATCAGTCGAGTGGCATGCGAGGGCAAACCTTAACATCACTGGTAGGTGCAAGCAATAAGCAAAATCAGTAAAATTGCAAGCGAGCACGAATACTGAATTGGTGGCTTTTGAATGCAGGACAACGGCGTCAAGTATTGACGTTGGATTATTGTGGCGTCGTAAATGTTGATTATTTCTCCGCACCATCGGACTTTGGCGTGTCAGACCATCGCACTTTAGCGTTCCATAGATAACGAGCCATCGGACTTTGGCGTGACCATCATGTAAGACTCCAAAGTCCGATGGTCTGCGCCAAACTCCGATGGTTTGGTGTTGATACGGACGCCAAAGTCCGATGGACACGCCAAAGTCCGATGGCGAGTTTCCTATGAGACGCGCTGCGCTAAAGTGCGATGGTCTGACACGCCAAAGTTCGATGGTGAGTATAACCCCGATGGTTTGATTTCGATACGGACGCAAAAGTCCGATAGTCACGCCAAAGTCCGATGGTTTGGTGTTGATACGGACGCCAAAGTCCGATAGACACGCCAAAGTCCGATGGTTTGGTGTTGATACGGACGCCAAAATCCGATAGTCACGTTAAAGTCCGATGGCTCGTTTCCCATGAGACGCGAAAGCGCTAAAGTGCGATGGTCTGATACACCAAAGTCCGATAGTGCGGAGAAACAATCAACGTTTATGACATCACAATATTCCGACGTCAATCTTTGACGCCGTTGTCTTGCATTCAAAAGCTATCAATTCAGTATTTGTCCTACATACAATTTCACTGATTTTGCTTATTGCTTGCACCCACCAGAGATAGAAGGGTTAGTCCTCGCTTACCACTCGACTGATCAGGGTTAGTCCTTGCACACTTTTGATTATAGGATAGCTTCGCACAAAAACGAAAGATTAAGGGTTAGTCCTTGCACACTATTCGACTTATTAGGGTTGTTCTCGCATCCATCCAAGATAACTAGGTTATAGTTCTTATACACTTTTCGACCGATAAGGGTTAGTCTTGCACCTCTCCGAGAGATTAGGGTTAGTCCTCGCTTAAAACATTTATTTGTGTTAATTTTAGATCTTGGCATGGTGCGGCATCGCAATTTGGCGCAGTAGTACTATGACGTCACAAATGTTAATTGTTTTCCCGCACAATCGGACTTTGGCGTGTCAAACCATCAGGGTTTGGCGCGCAGACCATCGGACTTTGGCGTGACCATCAGACTTTGGAGTCCTACATATTAATATATATATAGATAGATAGCAAAACTTCTCCGGATTATTTGCAACAACTCATGGAAATGGAAGAATTAAAGCTGAAAAAGTTTGGATCAGATTGTGACTATGTTCATTTAAGGCACATGTAAATTTGGAATCGATAACATAAATATAGGAAGGTTTGCTATGGGGAATCTTCCCCTTTCTTCTGGGAAAAATTTACTATACAGCTTTTCATCGGAGGGATGCTATGGGGGAATTTTTTCTCCACAACTCCCGAATAAGATATACATGGCTTGCATTAAAGTTTATATATGATGCATAAAACAAATATAATTGATATCTGTTCACAACCAAAAAGCAGATTTTACATTGGAGTAAATAATTATCATTATACGTACAACTCAATATTAGAGAGGAAAATGAGCGGTGACTGGGGAAAGACCGTTACTGGAATCACGGCGGCCTCCGCTTTCACAGAGGGAGTTTCTAAGTCGCTCTTCACCACACCAATCCCTATCATCAATGAAGCAAGCACTTCCAAAAGCTGTGACGATGAATCCAACAAAGGTGAAATGAAACACACACCAACAGCATCATCGAGTCGTAGGAACTCGGAGCCTGCGCACTCGACGATCATTGAGGAGGGGGGTGAAAATCATACCCGGCCAGGAAAGCCAAAGCTCGGCCTTAGCAAACGTAAATATTATTAACAGATTTTGAGCATAATTAGAAGCATTTACCTACAATATTTATTTAAATTTTACAGTAGCCATCGTTTTAAATTGGTTTTAAAAGGAAGCATTTTATTTATTTCACCCCTAAATCCTTTAAATTAATTGTTCAGTATGACTAATAAATGTTTTCATTTACTTTCAAAGTACGCAATGTGGTGAAAACGGTAAAAGAAATGAGATTGGATGAAAGTTTACGATTATATATACTACATCCTGTGTTGAAAAAGGTATATAAATTGCACTATTTTTTGTTATTATTCAGTTTTCAGAAAATTAATACCATGCACAGTAAAAATGATTTATTATAAGGGAATAAATTTTAAATCGGACATAAACTTCACCATTAAAACGACATAAAGCTAACACTGAGTCTTGTTTCTCAGTTGGATGACAACCAACCTTTAGAATACCTGTCTGAAATGAGGAATATCACGGTTGTATTCATGAATCTGGTTCTTAATGAAAAGCATGAAGTCACAAAGCTTCTACAGGAGGTCTTTGATGTGGTATACTTACAATCCAAAATCATGCACGGTATGTTCTCAGTTTCAAGAATCCAAATAAAAATTTTGAATTTTTCAAGTCTCGATTTTTTTTTAAAATAAGATTTCAAAAAAGTTGAAAAGAATTATTATTTTCTTGCAGGATGCTTAAATAAAGTTTTTTTCTTTGACAAGGTAAGTTGTAGTTTGCTTTGGAGGACAAATTTATGCATAATCAGATTTCATTTAGAAATGCATGTATCATAAAACACAATAAGCATGATTCGGGTATAACATATCAATTACACTGACATATATTGTTTTCTTTTATTAACACATCCTAAAATACAATAAAACGGTGCCATTGACCAAAGGTTTCTTTGCAGATTGACTTGACATACAATGTATGTATAAAATATTTAATTGTAAAATGGATAACGGTATTTGTATTCAAAGGGTTGTACTTTTCTTGTAATATTCGGACTTCCTGGATACAAGCACGAGAGAGATTGTGCGCATGCGTTAATATGCTCCCACAAGATGAAAAAGTTACTGGATCAGCTTGCTGGGGTCAAGTATGTTGCTTTGATATCAATTTTTACATTGTAACTTTATTTAAATAGAAAGTGCAGTTATTTTTTTTTCATAATACCTTTTGCAAAAAAGCATTACTTTTGACGCGGAAGTTTTCAAGAAATTATTTGCTTTATCTAAAACTTGTTAGTTTATCCTACAAATCAGTTCTGTCTCCATTGGTGTGACAACAGGAGGAGCATTTTGTGGGGTAGTGGGGCACAAAAACCGACATGAATACTCAGGTAAGTAATCAATACGAGACTTGCAACAACTATTTTTATTTACATCACTGTCAATAGTAAACAGTCCTATTATCTGGTATATACATAAAGTTGTTTAAATAATACATGAAATTTTAAAGTGTTTTCGCTTTATTTGTTATTTAAAATACTTTACATACTTTTAAATTCCCCTTCCAGTAATCGGTAGAAAGGTTAATATGGCTGCTCGATTAATGATGCATTACCCTAACAAGGTGACATGTGAAGACAGAACGTTTCAACAATCCCGACTTCCTTCCATCAACTTCAGAGTGCTTGGAGCCAAGAGAATGAAGGGTCTGCAGAATGTAGGGATAATCAGGGAGTACATGGAATCTACTGACACTTCCGCTCGGGACGTGGCTAAAATCCCATACTTCCAGTTCCCACTGCTAGGTGAGATTTGGTTGAGACTGTTGCAAAAGAGACAAAGACATTTTAAATATGGACTTTTAAAATTGTAAAAATTCACTATAAAGATCTAAAATGATTTACGTTGTCAGCAGTTGGTTACATCAGTATGATTTAATACTGCAACAAAAAATCCAGGCAACATCATGGATGTAATCAGAAAACATAAACAAAAATGTAAATTAATTTCGAATGAACAAGCTTTGATCGTCGGTTCACTTCCTGTAGGTAGAGAACAAGAGATAGAGGTGTTTGAACTGGAACTACAGAGGTTAGCTAATCAAAGAGATGAGGAATTCCCAAACCATTACATCATCAGCGGAGCATCAGGAATTGGCAAAACACGCCTTCTAGACCATTTCATCCATCTAGCAGAGAAAAACGGCATAAAGTTAGTTGTTAACACTTTTGGAAAGTTCCAAGTGCAGTTTTACCCTCTGAGTATTCAAGATAGAAAAAGGATGTTAGACAAGATTAAATCATAGACTGAATACAGTTCTTCTTGATGGACATACACAATTAAAAGTAGGATTTTTTTTATTGGAAACTGGCTTAAATTCCTTTTTAATACATGTCAATATTTTTTTCTTTAAAAGTGTCATTTCCTGCGCACTCAGGCTGCAACATTTACACGTCCATAACTGTCTCAGCAACTACATCTTCCATGTGCTTCTGTCATCATCCGGGTTCTCTCATCGAATAGAAGATGAACCGGAACTTATCAGTGTACTCTCCACTTACGCACTAGATTCCAAACTTTATCTTCTGAATAACATTCTGGGATCAAAGGTAGGCCTACAACTTAAATAGCTAGTTTGAATGAAAGAACAATGATATTTAACATTATGCATACTGGCAAAATAAATGTTATCTTTATTATTTGAATTCTGGTTTAGTATCATAGACCGAAGGATAAAAATGACACAGAGGAAGATCTTCGAAGAATTCTCACTCTCATCATTGAAAAGGTACAAATGACATGACAAGTCTATACTGACAAGTCATCAGAGATACTCAAACTATATTGAACCAAATCAAAAAATACCTCCAGAAAGAGCAGTAGTAAAAACAGAATTCCGAGCTAATAAATATCATGCCTTTTTTAACATACATTTATTTCACTAATCACACTGTTACCTATAGTGTACAGAGAAGCACCCTGTATTGGTAGTGGTGGATGATGCTCAGAATGTGGACGATCTATCCTGGAAGTTCCTCTGTGAACTCCGTAATATGAAGGGTGTGTTTATTGTCCTCTCTTCCCGTCCGGCGGCTATCGAGAAACCAACGTCTGAGGACGCTGGACAATACATTGAGTCGTCCTCTGTACGAGTGTTGGACCTTGGCGTACTTGACACTCAGTATATCCCAGCACTGGCATGTCAACTCATGGACGTGGTTAGAATCCCTTGTGAATTAGAAATGTAAGATTGATTTAATTTTTCATATGTATTTGATATTTTTACTAGAGCAAGATATTTCTTAAATTGATTATCAAGTAATGATGAAACACAATTCAAAATGTAGAAGTTGCCCTTTTAAACATAAATAATTTTAGCGGTTTTCCTTTCTCTTGGGTAGAATGTTACGAGAGAGAACTCAGGGTGTACCGTATTGGTGTGAACAGTTACTTCTAGATATGACAGAGAAGAATCAGCTGATTATTACGTACGATGATGGAAGTACCGCTATGAGACAAAATACTATAGCCCCCAAGGCAGCACAACTGGAAAAAGTCTTTTCTGATCACAGCTTTGATGAAATTTTAGATGAAAATGACAATGATCAAGTTGAATACAATCGAGTGAGCTCATCATTTAGAGTAAAAGATGATGAGGTGAGTTTTAATTAAAAAAAACATTACTTGAAGATAAGATAAGATAATATTTATTTAAAGTCGGGCAAGACAACAAGAAATATTAGCTCTGAAGAGGTATTTTTCAACTACATAATATTATTACATATAAATACAAGTCTAGGAGTGAAACGGTTCACCGCGGTATCGATTCACCGCGGTATTTTTTCTCGGGTTGATACACGGTGCAAAATCTCTAATTTTCGGTTCGGTTCATTTTTCGGTCGGGATCGTTCTTCATTCTGGTTTGCCATTAGGTAAAACACGTTACTCAGTATAAATAAGTATAGAAAACGTAAAATTTTGATGACTGATAGCTTGTAAAATAATTTTTGACAGTCAAATAATTTTAATCAATTTCTTCTAGTCAATTTGCAAATAAAATTCGTAAAATATGTGACTAGATTTAGAAAAAGAAACCATTAAACAATGTTGAATTTGTTTCCTTCTATCAAAATGTATCGTATCGAAAATAACCGAACCGAGACAAAATTATACAATACGTATCGAACCGTGAAGGAGGTGTATCGTTTCACCCCTAAATACAACAATCATACAAAATAAACAAGAAACAGTGTTTAAATATCACAATACTAAAATATCAGTATACCTCAATGATGCATATTAAATGACATTACCCATTATCACAAGAAGATTACAAGCAGATAAATAAAAAATAATATCTTAACTGCCTTGACTAAATTACTAGTGTTTGTTTGCTCTGTAAAGTGAGTGAGATATTTCCACACTGTATACTAGTAACACTGATAAAATAAAACTGCGATTAAAAGTAAATCAAATTTTTGGTCATCACCGAATGATTATTTAACAGACATTTATACTTGACTTATAAATCAGTCTTTGAACGGAATTCTTATGCATGAAAAGAAGAAAACACTTGCTGTGGCCTTAAACTCGACATTAAGATATCGACGATGTATTGTCAATTAAAAACGGTTATTTCCATTCTTATGTCGATATGATATATCCCGGTGAGCTTGAAATAAAAGATACCACAGAGTCTGACACATCTGTTTCATATTTGGATATTTTACTAGAAAAAAACGTTAATGGTTATCTAACAACCAAGTTTTATGATAAACGTGATGACTAACTTTTCAATCGTCAACTTCCCTCACTTATGCATCAATATACTTTTATAACCAGCATATGGGGTTTATATCTCTCAGTTGATTCCATACGCAAGAGCATGCTCTACATACGAACAATTTCTAGAATGAGATAAGTTATTGACAAACAGTTGATGAAACAAGAATATCAGCAGTCTCGTTTAAAGTCGTCATTTCTTAAGTTGTATGGTCGATACAATGACCTTGTCAGCAAATACAATTTATCATTAAGTCAAAATGTTGACTGACGTTTTTCATACTAATTGTTAGATCATTATTTACACACTGAATTGTCGGCAGATTTTCCCGTTATTTCCCGATCATGACAAGGAACATACGGCGGGTGTGACCGGTCGGCAGGGGATGCTCAGTCCTCCATGGCAGCTGATCCTACCTCTGATGTTTTAGAGGTCTTGTTTGCTCTGCTCCAAATTTTGTTTTGTTGAATGGACCTTTGAGCTTGAATACTGTTCGTTATCTCCATATATTTCATTCATACACATTCAGTCACACAAGAGGAGTAATTTTGTTTAAAAAAAATCAAACAAAGGACCTTTTGTTATTTTAAATGACATTCAAAATGATTGATATAAAATTGAGTGACATTTTACTTTGAAAATCAAAATTTAAAGATATCTTACTTTCCATTCACATGTACATATTTACACATGGGGGCAAATTTTACACATTCGCAAATTTTGCACCTAGTGCATGTGAATGGGGATTAGCAAACATTGCATCAGTATTTTTCTTCCTAGCGCAAAATTTACATCTAGTCAGACTAGGGGCAAATTTCAGCTTAGGTAATTCTTTCAATCTACTACACTATATTTTTTTTTTTTTATTATCATAACAATCATTCTTGCAACTTTTGGATCTAGAAGAAAAAAATTTTACAAAAGGATAGATACATCGATATTGTCTATATAAAATATAACATCATTAAAAAAGATTTACACCACCTGTACGTAAATGAGCGCATGTGAACGGGGGGGGGGGGCGTTAGTGCCGTTTAACCCTGTACCAATGTAGAGCTACAATGCACAAAAGTAATGAGTAAGATGTAAATATTGAGTAACTGAAGATTTTTGCCAGTAATAAAAGCACACGTTAATAACTAGAGTTTTCTGTGATATATCATTGTGTTGGTATTTTCGTTGTATGACAGAATCAGATGGAACACGGAGAATTGTTAGGTTATGGATACATCCATCAAAAGGATAACAAACAAAAAGTGAAAGTCGCCATGTTTTCTCCACATGTCAACCCACAGGAAATAGAGGTTCCACTCATCATGAAAGGTATATTTTGAATTGAAATTTAAATTCATTAATACTTCATGTAGATGTTTTTGAACGAAAGCAAAAACTTATCAAACAGACTGAGTGCAATATTTGATTGTATGTGTTAGCGTGATTCGGAACATTTCCTGTAAAAGTCTTTATACACTTTATTTTGCTTGTAGCAATTTAAAACAAATCTGAACATATCTCAAATGACTTATTTGTATGCATTGAATACGAAGTATTTTGTATCAACAAGATCTAATCAATGATTGGTGTAGGATTGGTCGATTGGGGAAACGACACTGATAAAGTGTACGACTCCTAGTGTTTTGAATGAAATATGTAAGATTTAATTTGCATTCAGTTACCGTGGACAAATAGAAGTTTGTTTGATTTGTAGAGCTTATCATTGCCCGACTTGATTCCATGAGAGCATCCGAACAACTGATTGTGAAATGTGCTGCTGTTTTAGGACAGGCCTTCCCGAGAGATATGATTGAATATATATTACCAAAAGTACAGCGTGTCAAAGCCAGAAAATCGTTCAGGCGCCTCAAGCAGATCGGCATTTTTGAGTGTGCTAATATACCGACAGGTCGAGCAGCGCTTCTGTTACAAACGAATGGTCTTCATCCGGAAGCCTGCTTTTGTCCGAAAAAGGAGGATGATTATGACGTAGATTTGTGTAACGTTATGCGATTTAAGAATAATTTGTTACAACAAACCGCATATAACATTCTTATGGAAAGCCAGAGATTAGATCTTCATAATAAAACCGTTGAATACCTCGAAAATCAAGCCAATGAGATTAGAAACAGAATTCCATATTATCTTCTGTATCGAAAACCGAAAGAAAGTTTGGAGAATAAACAAGGTATCTATAATATAAACAACATCGTGCATAAAATTTCAGTTATAGACTGATTTATGGAGCAGATTTTTGAGCAGGGTATACCAATGTCTTTCAATTTTGTTAAATGTTTGACCAAGTTATTGTATCCAAGCTGAAATATACATACATTACTGGAAATGCTCCCATGCATTGAAAGTTTCACTTAAACCGGAAATAGAAGCGATCTCATCCCGTTTTGAAGTCAATCATATCCGTTTTGCTATTTTAGTGTTCAGTGCCTGTTGTCTTTACTTCATCCATTTAACATATTTAAGTTTACAACAGCCTATTTTACTTGAGAAATCAGGTATCATTTTTAAACATCTGTTGGGATATAGATACAGGTTAATTAATAGTGTATTCTTAGTGTATTCTTAAACTTTTACATTTGCAAATGTTTTTCCTTCATAACAGTATTTGAGCAATGCCTATGTATCATTGTATCTATAGATACAATTCCTCACATGAGAATCAATGCATTATGAAGTCATAAACGGTCAACTAAGTGACATTAAAAAAAAACCAGACAAACGTCTTATATGGATTCCAATAAAACAATTGAATTTTGAAAAAAATAACATTTTTTAGAATTAACACAACTGTGCAAACATTTGAATTTTATGGGATTTGATCATGTTTTTAACCCGTATCTATATCTGCCAGACAAAAAAATATTTTCTTCAATTTTAAGCATACACCACTTAACTTGTATATAGTAGCTGACATATCTGTAGCGTGCTTGTCTTATGGTTCCGAGTCTTGTGGTTCTGAACTTTAGTCGATGCCCAGAAAGCTGACGCAAATCTAAAAACTATTTTTTTTTTTTTTGCAGTTGATATTGATATTTTGATAAGTTTTAACATGTGAACTTATGGGAAATATAGATATTGATAGTTTCACAACGAATTACAACGATAATTGTGATAAATTAAGGTACATGTATTAGAATTTAGTATTGAAATTAATTTAATAGATAGTGCCATTATTATCACCAAAAGGATGAACCTTATACACCACTGAATCATTCTTCATTAGAGAGAGAGAGAGAGGGAGGGAAAACGAGAGAGCATCTTGTTTTATATAGTCATATGTCTGTATGAAATCAAAGAAAAAATATCATATCCATATTTCATAGAGTGTACTGACACTTGACAGTTTTGTTTAAGGGTATTCTTCCATTGTAAATGTCATCAGTAACTTTACTTTCATATGAATTTTAAAAAGGTTTGTAGTAAAAAACGTTGTCATGAGCTATCCATTTCAAATGACCTGTCCTGTTGGAAAACCAACCGACACAGATTTTTTTTTTATTGAAAAAGCACAATAATGCATTATTCAGAACCTAATTTAGTCAGTTCAGTGAAGTTTTCCTCTTTTAAATTCTATGGAATTCAATTCACATCAAGAATATATGATAGTTATGAAAAAAGAAAAAAAAGAAAAATTATAGTCATATATCTATACATGTTCGAAGGGAGATTTGTATTTGTTAGACTGTGTTATATTCTGAGTATATAATACAAGGTCAGTTAAATAAAGATTTTGACAAAATACTTTTGTGTAATGTTTATGACTTCCATGTATTTACGAACCTATATTTCCTATTGTATATCTTGATCAAGACCATACTCTCTTATCTTTTAAAGGAAATTGATTTTTTAGCTCTACTGGTCAGAGACCAGAAGAGCTTATGCGATAGTAATGTGTCAGTCCGTCTGTCTGTCTGTCTGTAAACAATTTTTCAAAACGCTACTCCTCATACAGTTTTGGTCTAATTTCAGTATAACTTGGCACACAAGTAAACTACACAAAGATACATAATTTAGTGCATCGGTTTTTGGTTTTGATGAATGGTGTTGCCGTGGTTTCCAAAAAATAGAAATTTCTGTGAAATTCCTTTCAAACGCTACTCCTCCTACAGTTTTGGTCTGATTTCAATCTAATTTGGCACACAAGTAGACTAAACTAAGATACATAATCAAATACATCTGATTTTGATGAACGGTATTTGCGCGGTTACTAAAAATAGAAATTTCTGTGAAATTCCTTTAAAACATTACTCCTTCTACAGTTTTGGTATGATTTCAATCTAATTTGGCACACAATTAGACTACACAACGATACATAAGAGTTTTTATCAGTTTTTGATTTCATGAAAGGTGTTGCCATGGTTACTAAAAATAGAAATTTCTGTGAAATACTTTCAAAATGCTACTCCTCCTACAATTTTCGTTTGATTTCAGTATAACTTGGCATACAAGTAGACTACATTAAGATACATAATTCTGTTTATTGCTTCATGTTGCAAAGTTTCAAATCCAAGTGCTACTTTTCCTTTGTTATATGTACAAACCAGTAGAGCTACAGTGTCATAGGAAATTTCTGGTTTATGTTTATTTTTTGTAGTTTGCATATAGCATAAATGAATTAGTTCCATAATAGCAGTTTAATATTTAGTTGATTAAAATTGAATTCTCTGCCTATCTGATGATGTAACTGACGGATTGAATATTGGATTTTAAAAAGATAAATGAGCAAATTATTTTAAAATCACTTATAGATGGTAGGAAGTAAAAAGGTTATTCAGTCTTTTCTTTATAGTAGCTATATTAAAATTCATAATATTTTCAAGACAAATATCGCAGTTATAATAAGACATTTAAAAAAAAAAGAAAGAAGCTTTATTATTTTTAATTAATAAAAGTAATAGAGAATAGGGACGTTGCCTTCTAAAAATCCCTCTTACATTCCAAGATACTGAGTATATCATCAGTGCATGGACATATTCAATGAGACCTGTTTTTAATATAAGTCGTTTTTCTTGATATATATATATATATATATATATATATATATATATATATATATATATATATATATATATATATATATATATATATATATATATATATAATTTTGTTGGCTAAGATAGTGCTATTCTTGTTAAGTCACAATTTAGTTGTACAACGACCAGTATCTTACCGGTATGTTATCCATTCAAAGTTAAGTAGAGTTCTTATGACAAGGCATCTACTGGGTCCCTGCCAAAAAAGGTAAATGTTTGCTCTCCAGACTTCTTTCACTGTTCTATTTTTAATCTTTGTGTTGACCATCAACATCTTTCTTTTGATTAGTATGTCATTTCATATTTGGATTACATGTACTTATACCAATAGTTATTAACAAATAACTATCATCATAGTCTTGAAAAATACTAACCTGAGTGAAAATCTTCGAATTAAAATCAAAGACTGACACTAGAATTACTTCTTCATAAAATTCTATTTAACACACAACTCTGACTGTGCACACATTTTAAAGTTAATATATTATATGTGTTCAAGTCACCACCCTAAATCTTTATCTAGAAACACATTCGATTTTCTTGACGATTTGGTCCTACTATCTGACAATGATCTCATGCGTATATATATTTCTTTTTCTCAGCCGGAGTTGCCCCTGCAGTCATTAGGAGGTCCAATAAAGTAGGAGACGTCAACATGGACATGGACAACAAAAACTCTTCCAGAAGGAACAGAAGAGGGGCTGTTTGTGTTTCTAGAGAGTAAGGGTGTAAAGAGTAGAAGACTTATTCTTTTTTTAACGCTATTGATTTTGGCTCTTTGAAATAGTGAAAATCCAAAAGTACAGAAATTATGGGTGGATAATGCTTAAAAAGGAAATTTCTTAGAACCCAGTAATTAACGTGATGTATTTGCATGTTATTTTGCATTTTCTACAAACATACTTAATGTTACATTTCTTTGAATCACTTTTATTTAATAACATAACCTGTCAGAAAACGTTTGATCATGGTTCATTCGAAGTTCACTGTTCTCTAAGAATTCCTAAGTGACCACCAAAATCCATTACAAAAATTAATCCTTTTTGTTTTTGTCATATCAAAACCATCAGTAGAATTGTGACACGGTATTGTCTTCATTATACAGAGACATAGATCCATTGATAAAAGCTGTTTGCCAGTTAGACAACGGTCAACAGAAGCTTGATGAACTTGTGAAGAGACTAATCCCCATTTACCAGGATATAGAGCGGCACATGCGCGCTGCAAATGACTCCAAACACATAGTGGATTTGTTATTGGAATATGCTGCCGCTGTCATTCTTCTGAAAAACGCAGAAAAAGTAACTACATTATTAATAATGTATTGAAAGACAAACATGAACATGCAATGAACATAACTTTAATTTAGATAAGTTAACATTATATAAATGCCGTGTATTTGATATATTTGCGCCTCACACTGCAGACAAGAGAGATTCTAAATACAGTGGATACATTAATGAAAGAAATCGATGACAAAACTTTCTCATCTGATGTTTTCCGGTTGTCGAAAATTGCCAGAATTCGGGGAAAGGTACATTTCATTTTGTAGTCGTAAAAACTGTAATGTTATGGACACGTAAGACCTAAGATGATGTTCAAAATAATTATCGGGACCATACCGACAGTCTCTCTCTCTCTCTCTCTTCAACATCAGTGCTGTTTGGGTAAACGTAACAGCATCAACATGTATATAAAATTGACATTTTTCAAATATTATTTAGATTGCTTACCATTCTGGCGATTTAGAAAGCGCCCATTGGTGGCTTTCTCACGCAGGAAAACTACTTGGAATTCACCAGCCGTCCAGAGGCTGCTGGATCTGGCCGGTAACACTGAGACATATGATCCGCCTACGAGCTCTCAGACATTCTCCAATAGCCAGAAGGTTTGTCGTTAACCTTAACCTATATTTTTAAAACTTAACAAAAAATGTGAACACCAAAAAATTTAAAACAATGTCATAGTCATGAATTATCGATGAATTTTGAAATAAAACATGATATAACGTCAGCACAAATGATATATTAACGTTTTCTCATTTCTTTTTTGTTCAGTTGGGATAAAATATATTTTCATTAAGAGTTTTATTCTGCTTGGCATTCAAATTATTTCTAATTCGTACTTGACACTTTTGAATTCAGTGGAACTGTTTAGAAAGAGAAAAATAATGTCCTGTTTTGGTGTAAACGAATTTAAGTCTACTTGGGAAAATAAAATGTTGGAATTGATTTTGTAGACCTGCCACTATCAAGACGTTAGAACAGGGGTACTGCCTGTCAGATCTTCACTGGTTTTACTCAGAAAGCGGAAATAAGGGTTTTTTATTCCTTACCGCTCTACAACAGATGATGAAAGTTACTGGAAGAACCTGTCATCTTCACCAGGTGTGGCAAGAAAACGAGATATCTAAAGTAACCTCTGAGAATGATGGCTAAAACTTTCAAAAAGATTCATCTGTGTTATGATTTATTTCAGGTGGTGGAGTCGTATGCTGATATAATGAGGCTTTGCAAGTTCGAAAGCACAAAGAAGAAACTAGAAACAGAACTTTTTGCAATGTATGTTGAAGTTTGCTTTATAACACATTCATCATTTCGCTTTAAAAAAGACCAGGAGAAACATTATTCCAATTAATAAAATAAAAAGATAATGAACAGTAATCATGTTCAGATGTCCAAATAAATAATCAAATCAAGAGCAGAGCAATCACGGACCTCTTAAAACTTCAAAGGTGGGATCATATGCCATAAAGGAGTGAGCATCCCCTGTTGACCGATCACATCCGCCTTGAGCCCTTTGTCTTGATTGGGTAAACGGATAAATCCGTGGTCAGTTCAGTATGATAATAATGACCTTACAATTTGTGTTAAAAACGTCAGTTAACATTCGACGTAATACAGGTTGTATTTACAAACAAGGTCATCGACCATAGAATTTGCAAAATATCGACTGTAAACGATATTGTTAATACCCTTTTAACATCTTCTTATTCGTCAGTAACCTGCCTCGGTTAAGAAATTGATCGTATGTAGAAGATGCTCTTGCGTATCGAATCAACTTGGAGACAAAAACACTATATGCATGTGATAATGGTATATTGCTACATGGTTATGGGAAGTTGACGATAGAGAACTTGAAGTCGTCACGTTTATCATAAAGTTTAGTTGTAAGTTGTTAGGTTTGCCATCAATGTCTTTCTCTAGTAAAACATTCAAGTAGGAAGCAGATGTGTCAGACTCTGTCTTTTATTTCGAGTTATGTGGGATTAGCAAATCAATGTGTGAAGAAAATTGAATATAAATAATCGATAAAAAGGTCATCGATTTATCTAAATGTCCAGTTGAAAGCCACAGCAAGGACTTATTTTCATGTGTAGAAGTTATTGTATAAATTCTACTTCATAAAAACACAAAAACAGATCTGCTAATAGAGGGTTTCCAACAGATTGTTGGAAGATCTGGTCTCCAAAGACTACATAGATATTGTCGATGAGAAACCCAATCATTTTTTAATATCAACTTCAGAGTACTTGTGTGTAGAATCAGAGAGAATGTTAACAAAGTAATTATGTATACGACCAATCACAAGATATGAACATTTTTGAGTTCCATTCAAGAATTTAAAAATAATATGAATGCATTTAAACTACTTAGTATTTGATTATAACAGTTGTTCATCCAGACACGATGAGTTGTCTCCCAGTGATCTGGTGCTGTTAGCTAGCATGTATACCGATATGGCAACAAACTACCTTAACGTAGGAGACCTCCGAAGTGCTCTATCTTCTAGTAAGTTATTTTAATACCTCTTTCAATTATAAAAAATGTAGACAATTCAATCCATACGTATTTTACACTGTGTCAAAAGAAAAATATCAACATGCTTAAAGGTAATTTCCCTCATGAACAGTATTTGAAAAGCATAGAAAATAAAAAGTAAATATGCATTTTTTCCACGTGTCAGTATAAACGGATCAAAGTAGTAATAAAACCCCACGTTATTATTTATTCATAGGTACTGGAGCCTACGAGGTCTGTGACAAATTAAACAATCAGGACATTGGGTTAGTCGTGTCGCCTATCCTAGCCTCTTGTCTGGTTCTAACCTGCAGGTATATAACGATTCCATCTATTTTGCACTGTTATCAAATATACCGCCTGAGTAACTACAGTACAGCACCATTATCTCTGTAATATAATACAGTTTAGATGGCATTTATACAAAGGATACTTTATTTACTGAAGAAATATAGCTAAGGTTACTTTTAGTAAGCATAGCTATTTGATTCCTGTCGAGTTTCATTTGATTTAACAATCTTTGAACATGTTTAATTCGGGATAGAAATACATTGCAACACAAAATTACGCAGGAATTCTCATAATTTGCATTTAATGCCCTGGTTTTCCGACATTTTGGTTTTCAGAAATGATCAGTTTACAGAATATCTACAGAAACTTCGATCTTTTGTCTGCTACTCTGATGGTAGAATCCACCGAGCCTGGTATTACATTTTCTGTATGGAGAGAATATTAAATGGAGGTAGAGCTTAAAGATTCCTAGTACATATATGCATCATATCAATTAATCATTCTGATAAATAGTATTGATAAAGTTTATATATATATATATATATATATATATATATATATATATATATATATATATATATATATATATATATATATATATATATATATATATATATATATATAAGAAAAGAAGCAAGTAATTTTCTATATTTTATTTTAATTTTTGTGATATTGACTCAACCAGAAAATAAGGGAAAGTGAATAACAACAGAATGCACATTCTTTTACATACTAGTATCTTATCAGGATGAGGTCTTCAATTAAGAGCTGGCTATATACGTTATACATATTGTTTCTGCAGAGTCAGGATTGCATCCTTTTGAACCATTACTTCCACAATCACTGATAAAATTACTATAAATTGCCCCCATAAAGTAGAAAAATTTCTCTTTTGCGAGTAGGTAAGTGTAACTGTGAATAAACATAATAGAAAATTACAGTCGCTGCCTCATTCAAAATGACAATTCATTCTTTGTTTGCAATATCATAGAAAAATATGCATTTAGCAATGCCTGAGGGATATTCCAATGTAGTCAACATTTTCCCTGATATTGTCAACAACGAATTGATCAGAAATTATATACGTAGATTATAGCAATTGAACATTCTCCAATATCTATCTGTTTGTCTAAAATTTTCACTTTTTACCCATTTCATTTTTGAACAAGGATTTTTGGATATACAACTAGATGCTTCAAATTTGTTCAAATGAAAAACTGGGTCCTTTTCCAAACGAAGATAATAAAGAAATGATGAAAATGGGGGTTGGGTCATGAAAAATCATCTCAAGAAGACAAGGTTTATTTGAAAATGTTGAGTGTGTACAAGTTGGTTAAAATCATGACCCGGGCAATAAGGGATGAAACTTTTGCGTGAGAATCTACATATGCACGAAAATTTGTTTAAAAAATATCTTTATATCTAAAAATAAGGGTCATAATTTATAATATCAATATGCATCGGGTGGACCACAATAGGCAATTGACTTTAATTTGACCATTACAGTAAAGGATAACATCTACATTTCATTTGTCAGGAAGAGAAAGGTTTCTCGGATGAGCTATGTGGCCCATAAGTCTCTTTACTTATTTTCTTTCTCCTTTTTGAAATTAGATTACCCACTCCAATCATTCCAGTGCTGTCTGGACTTTGCTACTAATTACTTACGTTCTTGTGATGCCGTCACTAATGAATATATTCCTCGTCTCTTTCTTGCAATGGAAATTGCACTATGGTGAGTGAAATAACTAAGTTTCTTAACATTAAGAGACTAATGTTCACGCAAATCAAAACGTCCTTGTAATAATAGTGAAAGCGTGTTGCTTATATTACACTCAAGACGATTTACCTTTTTTTTAATTTAAAAATGTTCTATCGTAAGATAAATTATTGATTAAAGTTTTTTTTTATCTTCGATAGAAAAAAATATTGAAACAAAAAGTTATATTCTAACATATATCTGACAAAATAATGCATGTCTGTCTAGTAATTCACCGATTTTTTATGTTCTGTACAGGTTTTGTCGGAAAGGTCAATGGGACTCTGGCCAGGTTTGGTTCAGTTACTCGGAGGTGTATGACACAAATGTCGTGTCGTTTTTAGCTTTGTATGCACTGTCTCGTAAAATTGAAGTCATGCTTCTTTCCCTGAACACAAGCAGAGTAACATTGTCCAAAAAAGCTTTAGAAGCATTGAAAAAACATATCGTGATGGTAAGCCAATATGAAGTCACTTAAAGAATATTGTAGGTTTGATATTTAAAAAAATATCCTTTTGTTATTCGTACAAAAATATCAAAGTATTCATATCACATACCTGATTTATTGTAAATTTGAAATTTGTTGAATTCAGGATTTGAAGAAAATAGAAAGTGGTTGCAGAAAAATTTCCTCGATGTTGCCGCGCTTTTATCACCTTAAGGCTTACTTTTGTCTTCTGAAACGCTCCCAGTGTCAATCAAAGTGGCATCTACTGAAAGCAAGAAAAACTGCAACTCAGCATGGTAATATACTTGAATTAAGATGGACTGAAAGGCACAGGATGGTCTGGTTTAAGAAAATGGACTTATTGGAGCAATGGGACAGTTTTACAGAGGTACCCCAAGAATACTGGAAACAAAGGCCCACAGAATCTCATATGTATACTTGGCCAATAGTGCCTCAAGCCAGAAACCGCGAAAAATCAGCAATGTACTACTCTTAAATCTACTTAGGACTAATTGTATCACACTGGAGAATCTCATAATTTATATACTTCTATGTTTGACATATGGCGAAATTAAGCATATGTGAGGAATCGTGAATTAAATCCTTGCCATTGTATACATTTTCTTTTGTCTGGAGTATTTTTTTCTCGGTTAAGAGATGTGATTAGACTCAATCAATGAAATATGAATTATTTTGTACACATAAACATTAAAAAATACTTTTTATATTCAATGTTATGTTACTCATGTTGTATGTAACGTACTAAAGAAGATATCAATAAAATGTATTTTTAGAAGGATTTTTAAGCCTTAATTTTCGTGGAACGCTTCCTTTGCAAACAGAAATGATATAGGAATTCTAAATTGGTCTTGAAACAAATATATCCTTTGATTGTCGAAGCATCAAGGACAAATTTACACAATCAGATCTAAATCACTACCAAAAATTGCTAATGATGGGATTATAAGGCATAAATTATAACCTGTTGGTCCTTATGCAAGTACTTTCATTTTGTAATTCATAAAACGATGTATATTCCAGTTTTACCTTTTCAAAATGAAGAAAGTCACAGTCAACGAAGGTGCGTTCGATCTACCCTACCTATACTGGATTCCTGAACTTCATAAAAATCCTTACAAAGCTACATTTCCGGGTGCAGCAAATGCTCTACCAAGCCCCTAGCTTTCCTCCTCACATATAAAGGAGGAATTTCAGACGTACTTTGCTACAGCATATTTGAGGAGTGGTGTAAATCTAATTTGGATTCTCAAAAACTCCAAAGAACTTTTAGAAAATTGAAAATCACAACATTTTTCAAACGTCAGTACCATCAAAACGTATGAATTTTCTACACTTTATACAACCATTCCTCGCGATAAAAGAAAAACTAGGCTTTTATATCATACACAAATACTTCTTCAAAAAATGGAACTTGTTAGTTTTCATATCTTGTGATTGGTCAACAAAATTACTTTGTTAAATTCACTCTGATTCTAAACAAGTACTTTGAAGTTGATATTAAAAGGATGCTGGAATTCCTAATTGACAACATTTATGTAGTCTTTGGAGATCAGGTCTTCAAACAAACTGTTATAATTTCGATGGGCACTAATTGTGTTCCTTTATTAGCCCATTGATTATAAACACATTTATTATTTCTTATGGAGCAGAATTCATTCAAAAATTTCTATATGAGAAGAAAAAAATACTTGCTGTGGTCCTCAACTCAACACTTAATATATCGACGACGCTTTATCTATTAATAATAGTTATTTTCATTTGAATGAAATATATGGAGATAACGAGCAGTATTCAAGCTCAAAAGTCCATTAAACATTACAAAATAGCAAACACGGACCTCCAAAACATCAGAGGTGAGATCAGGTGCCATGGAGGAGTGACATCCCCTGCCGACCGGTCGCACCCGTCGTGTGCTCCTTGTCATGATCGGGAAATAACGGAAAAATCCGTCGACAATTCAGTGTGTAAATTATGGCCTAACAATTAGTATGAAAAAGGTCAGTCAGTATTTGACTCAATGATAAATTGTATTTGCTGAAAAGGTCATTATATCGACCATAGAAAATTAAAGACACCTCAGAGTCAACCACATCTGCTTCATATTTGGATGTTTTACTGAATATAGACGATAAGGGCCAACTAACAGCTAAATTGTGTGACAAATGAGATGACTTCAACTTTTCCATCGTCAACTTTATTTATATAGTAATATTCCACTATCATTTGCATATGGTAATTATGTCTCCAAACGTATTCGATACTCAAGAGCATGCTCAGAGTACGATCAATTCTTAAACCGAGGCAAGCTGACAGATAAGTTGATGTTACAGGGATTTCAACAACCTCGTTTAAAGTCGGCTTTTAGTAAATTCTATGGTCGTTATAATGACGTTAGCAAATATAACCTACCATAGGGTACTATTTTGACTGACATTTTTCATAATAATTGTTAGGTCTTTGTTCTTGTACTAAATTTGACTAAGGAATATTCCGTCTACCTGGTCAATACCTAGGGCTCCTGGCGGAAGTGACCGGACGACTGGGGATGCCTTCTCCTATGTACCTGATCCCACTTCTGGAATTTCAAGGGATCCATGTTTTATGCCTACAGATTTGTATTGTTTGTATGTTTGTTTTAGATCGATCATGTTCGTTATCTTCACTTTTTCATGAAGATGCAGAATGATCTAACCTAAAATGTATTTTTCAAACCTGAACTTTGTAAAGAATAAAGAAACATCTTTTTTATTGTAATAAAGAATCAGGGTGCAATTTGTCCGATATGTTGCCTATTGTATAAAGTATAGAATGCTGGTCATACTGAGAACCTTTACAAAGATTCAATTATATACAAGGTCACCAGGGATTCGATGTGAAATGGAAGTCCACTGGCCTAATGATTCACGCTCTTGGCAAAGCAATTTTAATTTAAAGAAAAAATTATTATCATCTGTTCAGCTGAAGTATATGAATACGCCTAGTACTAGAGCATGAAGTGCATACTGCTCCGTAAAATTAAGAAATTTCTTCCATTAAGTACCAGAGAACTCTTGTATAATGCATACATTTTGCCTTCAATAAACTATTGTCTTACGGTCTGGGGTAATAAAAAAATGTTAAATTTGCAACTTTTTTTGTTTTTCAATATTTTTCTTTTTGGATTTACAGGGTTAATAGAGAGTCTTCTAAGAGTTTTATGTATGTTTTCATCTTTTTGATTGAAAAAGTTTGCAGAGATTTTTATAAAACTCACTTACGGTCGAGTGTTTATCTGTCCTCAAAATTAGAATTTGTTCTCACAATATTGCTCAGCAACAGTAAACGACTGAAGTCTAAAACTTTCAGGTCTGATAGTCAGTCATCAGTTTATTTGAATCGTGAGAAAATCTTGTATCGCCGTTATTTCCGGTCGTGACAGGAAGTGATGCAAAAAAGTGAATGGTTAATGGTTAGCTTTGTTGGATTTTCACTCTGAATTTCTTTTATCACTTTTTCAGCGTGAATTTTTGTTTTTATTTTCAGAATCGGACGGAAGACCTCTCATTGCTCGCAATGAGTTTCTAGTTATTATTATTAAATATTATTATTATTATTATTATTATTATTATACTAGTACTAGATTATGAAGTGCATATTTATTTTGGAATCTGACGTCGTCAGAAACCATATTATTGAAATTAGGAACTTTTATTGGGTATGATATTATGAATGATAATTATTAGCATTGGATATTGCAACAATGCGTTTAAAATTACTACTAACTCTGTGAGATTTAAGTAGTTGAACTTATGAGAAATATTGGAATATGAACAGAAATACCGAGAGTTTAGAGAAATTTGATGAAGGGAAATTTATTCGTGAGCTAATTTACCCTTGGTAAATGTTATTTTTATTTGTTACATTGGTATTGAAGTATTGATGCCCATTACTTTGTTTTACTATATTCGTTATTTGCGTGAATGCATCAAGGAGAATACACAAACAATATTTAAATTGAAAGGTTTTAGCTGTGGTGATGTGCCAAATGCCGGTGATTAAATTATCGACCAGTAGCACTGTTAACAATAGATAAGACAGACTGCGCCGTCTCTCCAGTCTTTGATTGACAGACGGAATCCTCACATGGCTGATCTCTATAAGGAGTAGACAAAGGTAAGTCCGTATGCCACGTGTTTATAAAAAAAAATGTCGCTGTTACTGTGACTGATTAAGAGACTCGTTAAAGGTTATATTGGTTATCATCTCTTAAACATGCAGATGTAATGTTCCATCCATTTTATTTTATACTTATGTATAACATGTATTGTTTGTTGTAAATGTCATTTCTGTAGAATCTATTGATGAAAATTTGAGAAGTATTTGTTTTCAAGCATTAGAAACAGCGTCAAACTCTCCTCGCCGACTGGAAACTTCGTCTCACACCATGAACTTGATGAAGTGGCATAGGCGTCGGAAATTGGGGGGGGGCTAGGGGGGCTTAGCCCCCCACTTTTTTTTAATGATAGATATAATATAAGCGTTGAAAATTGGGGCTTACCTTTTTTCGTTGGTTTAGCCCCCCCACCCCACTTTCAATTAGCCACCCCACTTTCAATTTGCTTCCGACGCCTATGAGTGGTATGTACATTGTACTCATCTCGGGCAGAAAGCAAAATTAAAAAAAAATAGTGGGCTTAAAAATTCAATTCCAAAGCTTAAATATTGCAGTGAATAAATCAAATTTGTTCACGTTTTATTTTCCTTAAAAACATTTAGATATTTTTTCCGATTTAATTTTAGAAACAGATTTTTAGCCAATTAAAATCCAAGAACATATACCGTCAGAGATTTGTACATAGCACTTCATGGTGTGAGACAAACTTTCCGGTCGGCGTACATTTTACAGAGATAAAAGAAAAAAGAAAGACAAGCTTGCCATATATGGTTGTGTAGATAAATTATTGCAGAAGAGAATGGAAATAAACAGTTTGTCAGTGCATTTTCTGTGAAAGTGTAAATGATTACGATTCTGGGTAGAGGTCACTTAATGTAATGTTCAGTTAGATACCTTCTGTTATTATTATACAAGGGTTAAAAAAATACTTCAGGAACAAGTACCTGTGCTACTCCTACAAAGTTTTGTCTGATTTCAAAAAAAAAAATTACAAAATATTTTGGATGAAGATATATAATTCTGTACAATAATGTAAAATTTCGTTAGACAGTATAAAGGTAACGAATTAGAATAATCTTGGAAAATCTTTCAAAATGTTAGTTTAACTTCAGTTTTGCTCTCCATACAAGTAGAGAGCATCAAGATAAAGTGTGACGAGATAAAGTGTGAAGATAACGAATAGTAATCATACTCAAAAGGCCAGTTAAACAATACAAATAGAACAGAGCAAACGTGGACGTCTCAAAATATCAGAGGTGGGATCAGGTGCCATAGAGGAGTAAGCATCCCCAATCACATCTATGTATTGATCGGGTTAAATAAAGAATACTATTTAATTGATTTAATTTAAATTTTGATTTTTAGGTGTTGCAATATCTACTAAATTTAGAATAATATGTCAATTTGTTTCAAAGTGCTATTACTCTGCGTAGGTCTGATTTGAATGAAACTTAGTACAATTGTAGATTAAATCATTTTTCATAATTATATTTCAATTCTTAATTTCTATGAAAGATCTTTTCACATTTCCTAACATAAAATAATCCGTTTCTTAATTTCGAAATTGCTTAGGCTACATTTAGAAAAACGGTTCTATATATCGATTTTAATGCTGCCAGTCAATGGAAGAACATAATAAGAACAACAGAAAATAAGTAATCAAGAATTTTTCAGATATATACAAAACATAAAAATGAAAGGTATTGCAGAGGGCTCTTAACGATTTTTTAAAAAATCTAAAATAGATAAGCATATGTGCACTTAAGTATACTCTAAGCCAGTAGTTGTTCTAGTATCCTTAGAGACTTCTGGTTTAAGATTATAAGGAATCATTATATCTGATTTTATTCAACCCTTCTCAGAACCGATCGGATAAAACCCACACAAAATGCCTTATTAAATTATCAAGTGCAAATATTCCGTTGACATGAAATGTAACTTAATAGTTCCGAAAAAAAACCATCGCTACACCATAATTTATTTTGTCAGCAACGAAAAATATATAACTTCCGGTTAACCTTCGTTCTACACTGTTTGAGTACAATTCTCTAAGGGTAGAATACTTAATGCATTAAGACACTAAAGAATTGAATTTCAATCGATACCACTTGGCAAAGCAAACCCCTTCGATATAAGGCTCATAAATATTGTAGATTGGACCAAGTCCCTGCCATCAGCACAAAGCTGGGCTCTTTAGTCAATGGACTGGAAGCAGGTTATATTTCCCTAGGACATTAATTACGATCCTTTCTTGCAAAAGCACTGTAAGTTTTTAAAGTATGCACAGTTCGAGTTCAGATTTTTTGACGAAAGAGATATATACTTGTGTATAACTCTAGATCTGTGTCTAACAGTATCATTGTCCGTAATTGATGCAATCACGATTCTTGTTAATGGATTAAAAGCAAGGTAGATTGTATTAATGAGTTACGAACAAAATATTTTAATGTAATCTCATAAATAAGCTTGATTACGTCATTAGATTCTATCGAACGTATTACTATTTCTGATAGTTATCGAACCTGCTAAGTTGACTTCGTGCGGTAGGTATTTTTAGACATCAGTTTAAACTAATCATCCTTTTTCATTCTCTGTTTCACGATTTTATCTATGCCTGGAATCTACGCAGTAATGTTTGTCAAGAAAGTTCCTATATAATGAATAAGGAGACCATACATCGTAATCTTTGTTTTGAAGATGATACGTCAGCTCCCAATTAGGGTGAACAAGAATCTAATGTCAAGAACGATTTTTTTTTACACATGTTCTCAAACTCCACTGTTTAACTGTATGGTTTTGTTTTTGAAAATGAAATATGGGGATAACGAACAGTATTCAAGCTCAAAGTCCATTGAAAAAATACAAATCGGGACAGAGCAAACACAGACCTCCAAAAACAGAGGTGAGATCAGATGCCATGGAGGAGTTAGCGTCCCCTGCCGATCTTCCACACCCACCGTGTGCTCCTTGTCATGATCGGTAAATAACGGGAAAATCCGTCGACAAATTAATGTGTAATTAACGGCCTATCAATTGTATGAAAAATTTGACTTAATGATACATTGTATTTGCTGACAAGGTCATTGTATCGACCATAGAAGTTACGAAATAATGACTTTAAACGAGACTGCTGATATTCCTGTCTCATCAACTTGTTTGTCAATAACTTACCTCGTTTTAGAAATTTTTCATACGTAGAGCATGCTTTTGCGTATCGAATAAACTGAGAGATATACACCCCATATGCACGTGATGAAGGTATATTGCCGCATAAGAAAGGGAAGCTGACGATTGAAAAGTTATCATGTTTATAATAAAGCTTTGTTGTTAGATTACCATTAGCGTCTTTTTCTAGTAAAATATCCAAATATGAAACAGATGTGTCAGACTCTGTGGTATCTTTTAGTTCAAGCTCACTGAGATATATCGTGTCAACATATGAATGGAAATGGCTGTGGTTAATTGATAATACGTCGTCGATATATCTAAATGTAGAGTTGAAGGCCACAGCAAGATATTTTATTTTTCTCATATACTGACATAGATTTTGAATAAATTCTGCTTCATATAAATACAAAAATAGGTCTGCTAACAACGGGGCGCAATTTGTACCCATGGAAATTCCAACAGATTGTTTGAAGACCTGATCTCCAAAAACCACATAGATATTGTCAGTCAGAAACTCAAGCATCTTTTTAATATCAACTTCAGAGTACTTGTGTGTACAATCAGAATGTTTTTTTAACAAAATAATTTTGCAAATGACCAATGACAAGGTACCGTAAGTAAATTTAAGAGTTCCATTTTTATTGAAAAAGCAGGTGTCAGTGATGTCAAAAAGCATGGACTTAAATTTGTCGTGGGGAATGGTTGTATACAGAGTTGAAAAGTCGTAAGTTTTTATGTTATTGATTTTGGTAAAATTTTGTGATTTCAAATTTTCCAAAAGTTCCTCGGAATTTTTAAGTATCCACATCTGATTTACAACACTTCTCGAATATATTGTTGCACAGTACTCCTGAAGTTCCTCCTTCACTGTTGTTAATATTTTAGTAAGTAGTAAAGGAAAAAAATCCTTCTTAGACCCAATTGTCCAATGAAAGATTTCATATGTAGTGCGAATTCAAATAATGATTATGTTAGATTTGACATAGCTTAATAAATGCAAGTTTTTCTTTTCGTTTCTGTGCTTGTGTTGAACATTTTTTCAAAATTTTATCGAGGAACAATTGAACTGGAAACTATTGGTTTCATGCAGTACTGATATACATTCCCAGATGCAACTACTAACCAAGACTGAGTGAAATAGGATTTATACGAACTTCCATTTAGTGCATTTTGTAAGCTTTTTTATCCAACTTGGAAAAGACCTGCTATAAAAGCTTTATCTTAATCACTTATCCAGTAAATATAGGTCCCATGCAGATTTCAAAGCATCTTAAAGAGTAAGTATCTATACAAAAATATTAATGCATAATTGTAGAACAATAGAATTGTAAGTGCCTGAGAATGGAAATGCCCTCCAAACAATTTATTCACTTCAATGAAAACATGGCACATGCATCATTCCACATCAAGACGGGTAGGAAATTTATTTAAGACTAGTCAAGGTAGAAATTCTTGTCAGAAGGATCTGAACCTGTTCCTTAAACGTCTACCTGAATATTCACCCAGAAAAATCATGACTGATAGTATGCCCCCCCCCCCAAAAAAAATCACAGACATATCATATCTAGATTGATCACGGTAGGACATACTTTCTTTCACCCGCTTCCAAACCATTTTCCTGATCTTTGTGTCACATGCCGAATATGAATCATGTTCGTCAGGATTCTCATCATCCCTCTAAGTTCTATTATAGCTATTTTGAATAAACCAAGCAGAAGATATTTATTTGATCACTCTTTTTCAAAATCTAGGTCTCTTGTGGCTTACTAAATTTTAATACACGTCTGAAACTGCTTACCAGAATCAAATTCTTTAGATTTTGTCTGACCAACACACAAAGGTCTGATATTCTGTAGCATATTATTTTTGGTTACATAACTTTACTTAAATTCGATTTAACAGTTTGTTTACCATTCAAAATAATTGAAATTGATAAGACGAATGTCATAAAAGTTTGAATGGCTTTGAGCATTAACCAGGACATGTAAAGTCTCAAAGAACTTGTCAAACGCTAGAGGCAAAATGAAAGCAGAAACCCACGGTTTCCTGCAAAATTCTGGCTTCCAAAACTCCTCTTACACTCTATGCTGTAGCCAAATTTTGAATATGATTGTTGATGTCCTGTAGATGTGCAATAAGTTTTCAGAATTTTCATTTTTATCCTGGGGCTAATATGGGAGCAAAAACGACGTTTTTCTACAAAAACAATGCTTCCCAGAACTCCTTATACATGTTTGGCAGTTGCTAGTTCTTTTTTTGGAATATGGTTGGTAGATTCTGTGGATGTGCAATAAAGTTTCGGAATTATCCTTTTCATACAGAAGGCCAAGTGGGGGCCGAAAACGACTGTTTTCTATAGAAACCTGGTTCCCAGACTTCCTCTAACATTTAAGGCAGTAGCCAAGTCATTTCTTGGAATATCATTGGTGGTGTCTTCAACTGTCTTGTGGATGAACAATATGGTTTCAGAATTTTCATTTTCGTTCAAGGAATCAATTTGAGCTGAATTTTTTTTTAACAAAAAACCTTATTTCCAGAACTCCTTTACAAACAGAATATATGCTTCATTAAATTACTCAATTTCAGAGTGTTAATAAATATATTGTAAGAATTACGTGTACTAATATAAGAAGCCCATGTGTCACCAGAGCATTTTATGGTCAGTTAGAATCATGCATATTACCGGTATATGTGAAGTCTAGAATAAATATTGTCTCGTTATCTAGTTATACAGACCTCTTTTTACAAAAGAACGACTAAAACCAAAACTTTTAGCTGTAAAATATTATGTAATATTAATAATTTTGTCATTAATTTCTTGCATAAAAATACCTCTAAAAGGAAAGCTTTGAAAAAAAGAGATTAATACCATATTAAAATTAATTTTAAAAGGAAAGATATTCGTAAAATTACATTTGGTCGTTGGTTGATTTTATTTTTTTTTAAATAGGGCGTTATAATAAACATTTAATAGGTACATTAAAAGCCAAACACTCACGTGTGGGAATAACTGTCTTATGAAAGCGTCTAGTTTTATCTGTAGAAGATTGTAAGATATGATTTTTTACCTACCATTCATGGTAATTTGGCGATCTCCAACAGAAAATATTCTAGGCCAACTATGTCCATGCATTAATAAGAATTTAGGTTTTTTAAAGTTTCAAAGAAATATGTATTCAAAAATATTGCTGAGATTTGATAGAAATTTTTATTTTCAAAGGAGACCTAAGATTAAGATTAGAATTCAAACTAAGATTTATTCTAAATAATAGCATTTGATTTCTCAAAAGGCATATTGGAACATTTTATAAAAATATTGCTGCAATTTATGTGGGTGTAAAGATTTGAAGTCTTCTTAAATCAACATGTTTTTTGTCCCCAAGCAAAATGTTTAGACATTTAGGGGGCATATGGGACGGTGCTCTGAAGAACCGGTGTCCTCCGCTGCATTTTAGCATCATGTTAAATGACTTTTTCCACTATGCTCCAATATTGACGCGTAAAGCTTGACTTAGCTAGCGCCTCTCTCTGTCATAGTGAAATACGCAAGTGATGTGAAAAGTTGTATTGAATTTGTTACTTATGTGGATTAAGGGATTCCAGATGAAATTTAGTAAGATTTATGCTTATTCTCATGATTTTTATCTTTAACTGAAGTTCTGTTTAAAAAATGAAGTAAATTTTAAGAGGTAAAAAAATTATTAATTGATATAATATGAAATTCTCTGTTATCTCAAACTACAACAAGTGAATGTAAACATTTGTTTTTATTTTTTTTAAGTTAAAGCTATATATGGCGTATCTGAGCTAAAAAATAAAAATACGAGATTGAGTGTAGATGAACATGATATATGTTATTTACGTTCAAATTAAAATTTTCACTGATTTTGAACTTGAATAACCCCACGTTTCTATAGTTTAATTGACTTTAAACTGTGTCTGATATTTAAATGCGGAGTCGGTAAATAAATCGGTTATTGTTTTAAATTTCTAATATCTATGAAACGCGATTGATTTAAATTGTTCAATTTACAGGAAAGTCCTATCTTTATATGAAGTAATAAAACAAATAGAAAAATCTGTTTAATTTTAGTTAATTTGAACTTATCAAAAACACGACATATATGGCTTTAATGTATATATTTCATTTTATAATCCACAATCTTATTACAGAGCACTGAAAAAAATATATATATGTTTTCAATATTATGATGTTAAATATTTTGTGTTTAGGATTGGCTTACCAATTAGTAAACAAAAATTGAGTCTGCTTAATCAAAGTTACTTTTTTAAAATTATCATTCCTCTAATAAGGAATTGTCGCCTCTAAAAACATCAGAATTGGGATCAGGTGCCATGGAGGAGTAAGCATTCCCTGTCGATCGGTCACACCCGCCGTGTGCTCCTTTTTATGATCGAGCTGCAGCAAACGGAAAAATTCGTAGACAATTCAGTGTGTAAATAACAGAGCAATTAGTATGAAAAACATTGAACTAAAATATACGGCAATTTTAATTTTAGACTGTCCGAAACCCTGTAATCAGTTTCAATACAGGGCTTTTCTTGTTTCTTAGTGTTCGAATTTTTAATTTAATTTATTATTATTATTATCATCATTATTTTGATGTTTTATTTTATATATGCTTCTTGCAGAAATGAAAAAAAAAAACAAACAAAAAAAAGAAAAACAAAAAACACCGAGCAATTAATAAATTTTTCAAGGAAATAATGATAGCAGCGTATGGTCTCCTTTTTCAACACTCTCTCACGTCGCACATTTCGTATGAAGAATTTGTTTATTCTTTTATCAATTAGAAACTTTGTCAGAAATTGATTTCATGATTTAAACAGAGTGACATGAAGCCTGGAATCATCCGATTAAACATGAGTACGGCTTAGGAAAATGCACGACACTGAGATACTGAGATCACATATGGCGTAGATACTTGGCTTTCAAACTAACTTTGATGAATAGATAGTTTTTCCCTAAAATTTCTGAAAAGAATCCTCGAACTCAACTACATATAGTATATTGACACACTAGAAAATTTGAAGTTGCTCTTTATATAATTAAGAATTGGGATTTAACAGTTCGAAAATGACCGACACTTTTTGGAAAGGGGTCCATCATTATTTGTGATTTTCTGTTGCTTATGGTCAGTAACGTAATGATGAGTTACATGTTTGGAACAAATTTGTAGGTAAAATTCAGATAATCTGTGGATTAAACGACAAGCCGAAATCAACACTTCCGTAGACTTCGAACAATTGTGTTATACTTGTTTGTTTCACGTTTTATCTATCACATCTCTCTAAAAATGGATTGGAACGGATCAACCTTAATGTTTAATGATATTTTCTTTGAAGGCAAGTCAAAATGTATTTGAAATCGTAGATTTCAAAAACATGGTGGTAGCGCCCATGTAGGGCAGACTATAGTAGATAAGTAGAAGGTTTTTTTGTGTGATAATTAGTGGGGCTCATTTCTGTGTTATATTTTTAACAGACATTGCTAGCTAAGGAATGAAGATTCGTCCCAGAGTAAGTACTGATGACATTATCTACTATTATAGACTTCACCTATAACTTTGTTTTGTAGATGGACTGGTGAAGTAAAGCCCACAGAAAGATGAACATATACTTTGGCCTCCCGCACTTGCTGTTTTGGCAGGCGCACCATTTCTGTAATTGGATTTCTGCTGTTCCATTAGATAAACCAACAACCACTTCCGATTCGCTTGAGAATTCTTTGCAGACCAGGGGTGATTTATCTTCTATCAAACACATCGAGAATCCTAGATCCATAAACGGAAATTATTCCGCAGGAGTTACTATTGCCACTTTAGAAACTCACAGTTTACTTACTCAAGCAAATGATGCAAAGCGAAAGCCCAAGGTATCGAATGAACTATCGATGACAGAATTTATGGACTCTACGGACGATAAAAATGAAAGTGTTCCTGTTGTAAATAAATATGGAAATCCAAAGGAAATTAATATTCAAACGTCGATTAAAACACCATCTGACAAATTACTAGATCGAATTCTTCGCGATGAAAAATCAACAACTGAGATTTACAATGAAATAAACTTCTTACAAACAACAAAGTCAGAAAAAGAGATCATTTCATCAGAAAACAAGCCCACAGTCGAAAATGGAACACTTGTATCCGAGCACCATCCACTAAACGTTTCTCTCCATTCAAATGAAAGCGTCAGTACCGCCATGAACACTACGATTATTTTAACAATCAATTCTACGACAGAAGGAACTACAATGAAAACACCAACAAACACGACCAACAAAGTATCAACAGCAGGAAATGGCGTCAAGGAGAATATGACGACAATGCAAACTACGACATCTGTAAAACAGACGACACATGAATATCACCAACTTCGTCTGTTTACAGGCTTTGCTGAAAACGTTCCTATACGACCTAGATATCCCCAACACAACAACCATCATCTGAATCTCGGTAGGATAGTATGTTATATAATATATTTCACGAAGAACGATTTAATAAATAAATATGAGCGAAAGAATAAATTTTCAAATAAATGTATCCTTTGAAAACGTAAAAAGGATTTTTTTGGTACGGAAGCTACCAAAGGACAGGTCAGAATAGGCAACATGAAGGAAGATACAATATTTAAATATATCCAGCTTCAAGACAGCAAAATTACATTTTAAATTCATATTTTTAAAGTCTTACTTGTAGAAGGTTTTGAAAAAAAATATATTAACGTCAAAACATGACAGTTTTGTACAGGTATCATTTAATTTTAGTAAAACCTTATATTCGACGATTTAAAATAAGTTTTTCCTATCTTTTTGGGGTATTCTGTTGATTTTGCATACGTATACTATATCTAATATAGAATAAAACGTATCCCTTCATATGTATAGTGAAAATAAGCCTTATTCACAGAACATTGGTATCATTTACATGGATATAACTATTAGCGACAGACTAAAATGCATTAAATGTTGTCTGTTTTTGCTGTTGGTTATTCCATCCCTTGCCAGGGGTTTTATCTCTCGACAGAGTTGTTACAAATTCTGCAATTATACATCGATACCAGCACGGTGATACCATGAATAAGCCATTATGAAGATGTAATTGTCATGATGTGTTTTGAGAAGGCAAGAAATCCCCCTCTTCATTAAAAATAAACCCGACTGATGTAGTGACGGAGAGGGGAAATGTAACAAGTAATCAATGGAGGGAAATAATGATTGAATGAAGGGGTATGAAGATACGGATCTTCTGTCATTCCAGTGAGAAATAAAATGATGGATGACAAAACAGAAGTACAGATGCATTGTTGATATCTGCAACACATCTCATAATTTTGGTCGATAGTCATTATGTCACTTTATGCTTTTGATAATAAGAAGCTATTGCATGTTGTGAAATTTTTATCTGTTTTAACAGGCATTACAAAACAAGATGATTATGATGAGTTTATATTTTTCAGACAAAGGTTCTTTGATTTTGTATAACTTTCAAGTCCAGAATGGTAGAGTATTGAATAGGGGGTAAAGACACAATACTGACGTGATAGCACCCAATAATAATGATTATTCTAGCTCTGTCAAGATAAATTGTGTTGTTTTTCCGCAACAATATTAGCAAAGGCATTTCCAAGGCCAAAAAAGTTCCTGATATAAGTAAGGTTTGACATGCAATTCCATTTACTTTCATGAAACCGAGGGAATACCATGAGGTTCAGTGATAGATAAGAATATGGCGTTTTGCGTTCGCTGTCAAGAAACAAATGAGAGGATTCAATATTGAAGATTTCTGTCTTTGAATCCAAGAAATAAATGACTTTCTTGGAAATGGTGTCCGCTATTGAAATGAAGGCTGTTGTGTCGTTTTTGACAGTCCATTCACTGATCCGAGATTTGTTCACTTCGTGCTGGGTCGATATGCTTTTCTGTGAAGTCTATATATCTATGGATCTACCTCATGAAAGGGCTATATTTGTAATATACAGAGGATATTCAATGTTTTGTAGTTGGATATGGAATTTATTTGGGACAGAATTTTTTTTTATATTTTCACGATATCAAAAAATTATGTCTCACAAGTGAAATAAATGTCATATCCAACTATAAAACAATGAATTTTCTGTTTATTACATTTTCTTTGAAATCTCTGTGCCTCTGTCTTTTCTTAAAAAAGAAATTGGCAGATTTAGTCTCAATCAAGACGGTTTAGTTACTATATCTTATGACAGGCCAGAAAGTATTTTTTTTTACTTACTTTAATTCACACTGTGACAGAATATCACTTTTATTCAATAAATAAATCAATCACAGTATTTCACCGTTGACAATGTAATACACATATATATAAGCTTTGTTTTAGAAATCTTTACCATTTATTAGAATTATTTCTTTTTTTTCAGTACCTATGGAAGACAGCCCGTTTGGAAATCTCTTGTGGAAGGTATCCCATATATACTAATGTATAAATCAAGTGATATGAAGTATCATTTTACCCGCAGATTTTATGATTTTTAAACAGAAGGACAAATTACATTCTTATTAGAAAGTTGTTATAAGTAACATGACAAGAAGTCTTATATGACACCATTTTTTTTTTTAAAATACAAATAACTTGTAATTCACAAATGCTACCTATTGTTGATGCTCATTAATTAGAGCTTAAATATTGTTTTGGCTGATGTTTGCTAATAACGAAATAAAAGTTGACAGCTTTTTATTATTGAATTTTATCATGAAGATGGATAATTTGCTTTTGGTACACTCTGCCGTACACTACTTGGATCGAAATTTTCTGTAAATATGATGAGTGTTATTGTAAATACCAAACAAGTCTTTGATAATAGAAAATTTTATACAATGTTTGCCAAATGATCATATCCTTGTCATCGCACTCTGAAGATTTTCTTTTTTCTTTTTCTTTTGCATATTGCGAAGAACTCCAGAACGAAAACTTTTCTGATAATATGCACGTAGATTTGATTTACAGAAATAAAAACTTGTGAGGCTTTTATTGTCAGGATAAGAAATACTTGATGAGTGTGCTGGTTCCTATCAGTATTGGAGTAGTAGGAGCTGCATGTATCATTGGTATGGCCTACATAGCTCGCTACTGTTACAGGAACGAGAGACAAATTCAAATGATGAAAGAAAGAATCACCCAGGTAAAATACTCATTACTAAGGGATAGTAATATATTTCATTACATATCATTTATCTACCGGCGATTTTTCTTCCACAAGGTTTGCATGAGAAAAAAATTCAGAAACTGCATTCAATTTTTTTTATTTTTGTGAGGATTGTTTTGGTGTGTGATTATAGGCCATATAAAATATAAAAGCATATTTATCAACCAAAAAAAAAACAACAAAGAGCTGGTAATCTGAACTTAAAAGGAAAGTGTTAAGTTATGAAATCTATTATTTTCTGGCTTTGTCCATACAGTCTCCAAGAATTAAAATCACGGTAACTGTAACGATTTCATGTTTTTCAATGATACAAGAGGCCTACAGCAACTGTGATCTAGAAACTAAACTCTGGAGATGAGACACAGTTTTGATTTGTTTAACACAAAAGGATCAAAAACAAGTTCTTACAACATATAGCTCAGTCAGTCAGCAACATACTTAATCCCCAAACAGAAAAAGAAGAAACATTACATATGTTTGGTCAGAAGGATTGCCTAATATTGGGGGCTTGCCACAGGTGGATTGTCTTATATAGGAGGCTTACCACATTTCATTGTAAGGACCATTCCTTTGGAGGCTGATCAGTTATAGTGGCTAGCATTTCAGAGGTTGACCTCTTGGAGGTTTTTTGTCGTTCCTCCGCGATTAGGGAAGGTGTAAGACTTCAGAGGTAAGCAGTTCACTATCCGTCCTGAATAAGGCATTAATACAGTAACTACTGCTTCTGGAGTAGGACCATGTTTATTAGGCTAGGGCTTGCCTCTAAGATAGATATTACTGCCTGAACAGGGCATGTTTCTATCTAGAGGTATATAAACTCATAAATTAGTAAGCCCAACCAAGTGTGCTTTTCCCCTAAGTAAAGTAAGTATTATTCGTGCAGACCAATAGTTATAAAGTCGAATCATTTTAGAGAGGAAAATTATTTGTTGAATTATCCAAATCCTCAGATCCAGGAATTAACCGGGTTCGAACCCTCTTGACACGTTACAGTAACATACAATATATAACTGTCTCATCTAAATGAATTATTTCGGGTGAAGATTTATTTGAATTGCACTTATGTCTCAGAATTTTCTTCATGGAGTCTCTAAGTGTTTCCACACTATCTTAATCATCACCTTCGCTAGCCAAGGGTTTCTTATCCAGTACTCTCCTCACAAACCTAAGGTTTGTGAGAGGAGTAGCGGATCGAAACCCTTGGCCTAGCGAAGATGCTAAATCATTAGCTTTGCAGTCTTTCCTAGCACTTGCGTTGTTTGATGAAAAACTGCTTGAAAGACATATTGAACAGTGTTCGCACACTTTGAATTTTTTAGACGGCAACTATATCAAAACATGTACTAGACTGTAGTTTGCTCAAATGCAAATCGTGATCAATATGTTTCAGTTGAACGATTTTTTTGGTCAATTTAGAATTCAAAATGTGATTGAAATACATCATAAAATGAACCCTTTGATAGAGACTCATCTCGTTCTATTTATCATCTAATTACCTACAAAAATAAGTATACCTTCACTTTTAAAAGCATTCACTAACTTTAATGATTCTGACATTAAAACAATGAATTAACTTCTAATTTTATGCTATCTAGAGCTATTTTTCCTTTTTTCATTACAGCCATGCATACTGTTCGCCCAAAGTGCTTCTCAACCTTGCAAAATTAAATACTTGAAATAATTTATACCTTAAAAATACTTTTAATAATTTTGACGATTTTCATAATATGTAGCACAAAAGGGGTTACAGAATGTTTAAGACACCGAAAGAAATTAATTTGAATAAGAATTTTTTCTCTCTATAAAGCAATAAAAGACTTTCGTTTATAATTATTTCATTATATCGACTGCTTTTAAGGGAAATTCGTTTATGATAAGCATCACTGTCACCTTTTGTGTGCAATATGGTACAATATTTAATTTGAATACCAAGCTTAGCACCATTTCTTAATGTTTTCCGTTTCAGACCCAGGAAACGCGCACCGACAACATTGTTCTTCTAGACGATTCTGATGACGAGTTTTAAAATGAAATCCAGATATTGGACTGCTCAGTTGTTTGACTAATTACAAAGCTGTGACCGACAAATGTGATTTGTTGGGCGCTGACAGAAGCGGCTGCCATGAAATCGGTGAAGAACTATTGTAAATAGAAAGGCAATCAGCTGCAGAAATTGTCTCCTGAAATCAAAGGGAAGAAAGTAATTACAGGCATTGCCTCCGTGTATCTTGTGGATGACTCTCTCTCTCTTTTTTTACACACACACCTACACACTCACACACACATATGAAAACTATATTTCGTAATATTAATATTGCGACAGACGAGCATTTTGTGTCTATTCGTATTCTTTTATACAAAGTTTGTTAAGAAATTGCTCTAGATTTTCCAAACACACATGTACTGAAGTCCTATGTGAAAATAAGATTTACTATTCAAGTTCGAAATATTTTAATAGCATATAAAAAAAATCTTCAAAGATGCATGATAATTCCATATAGTGTTTATAGGTTTACGAAGATGCATGTCCATGTTGTATAGAGAGTCTATAATCATTTCTCTTTCCTGGCCTTGTAAATTATAATTCAGCAAGCTCACGTGCATAACATTGTAATCACAACGCCTACGTTATCAAATTTCACTGTCGTTGTGTATTGCTGTTACTTGTTTTTTTTCTTATATTACAATAAAATTATAGGTTTTTATCAATCTGGAAGACAAAAAATGTGTTATTATGCGCTCTCCACATCTGGATGACGAATGATTAACCTCTGCATTATCTCACTGGTTCATATTGATCATCAAATAGCATTTTACGTTGTTTTTTTTTTCAAGTCATTATTAAAATACAGAAAAACGAAGGAATACGTTTAAACATTCTTATTCTTATTACTACACATTCATGAAATCAAATGTGATCTAAATATCACTTGATAAATACAGTACTCCCCCTTAGAATTAACAAAAAACCTTCTTGACCCCTCCCCTTTTCTAATTTTATCGTTAATATTTTTAATCTACGATCTGATTTTAGAATTTTTTTTACCTAACTATTAATGAGTATATATTGTTGTTTTTCGTCCCATTCGAGAATTTTTCACTCTAGACGTCTATTAATGAGTATACTGTTTACTTGATGCTTCAAGATGTGTAAAATTTATTTTAAAAAATCAAATTTTGTAACATTATTTCCCATTTTTGTCATCTTGTTAGAATATGCGATCTAGTCCAGATTTTGAACGAGAAAAACGTAACTCTTTTATCAGATTACCCTCGGTTAACAAACCTCCCTCGTAACAAAATCTATCGTCATTGGACCTGAGAAGTTAATGGACTTTCGATGCAATTTTTTAGCCACTTGGCAAACAAGCACTTGAAGTATGCTAGTTAATGTTGAATCCGATACATAACAAACTCATCTGGATGACTTTTTTTCTATATTCAATGTACGTTGGATTTTTCGTAAAGTTTTTGTCAGAAATTAATCTCCTTAGATACTAGTATCCAATACAAATATTGGTTTTCATAGTCCCTGAGAGTAATAGACTTGAGGGGAAACATCTTAGAAACTTTAGAACATTTGGAAGATATCCTATGTCCATGATAATGATAAGGGAAGTAAAACCCTTTCAGAACTGTAAAATTCATGTTTACTTATAATAGTTCAAATTCCATGCATGGTAAATCTGCATTGATCAATTATTTAAAATGTTTCTTTTTCTTAAATCACTGCTTTACTTGGTAAGCATCTAACAGATCGACCGTCGATTATTAAAAAGTTGTAGATAACGAACAGTGATCAATTTTATATCATGCTCTATGTATGAACAATTTCTAAAACGAGGTAAATTATTGACAAACAAGTTGCTGAAACAAGAATATCAGCAGTCTAGTTTAAACTCATCATTTCGTATGTTCTATGGTCGATACAATGACCTTGTCAGCAAATACAGTCTTTCATTAAGTCAAATGCTGACTGACTTTTTTTCGTACTAATTGTTAGGCCATTATTTACACTCTGATTTGTCAACGGACTTTTCCATTATTTACCGATCATGACAAGGAGCACATGGCGAGTGTGACCGGTCGGCAGGGGATGCTCACTCCTCCGTGGCACCTGATTCCACCTCTGATGTCTTAGAGCTCCGTGTTTGCTCTGCTCCTATTTTGTAATGTTTAATGGACTTTTGAGCTCGAATACTGTTCGTTATCTCCACATATTTCATACTAGTAAGTTGGGGTACGTAAACCTCATATACAGGTGAGAGCGGAACTTTACTACATAAATAAGGAAAGTTGATTTAAATTCCCATGGGTATCAATTGCACCCCGTTGTTAGCAGACCTATTTTTGTATTCATATGAACCAGAATTTATTCAGAATCTTATACATGAGAAAAAGAAATATGCTGTAGCCTTCAACTCGACATTTGGATATTATGTCGACGACGTATTTTCAATTAACAATAGCTATTTCCATTCATCTGTCGACACGATATATGTCATAGACCTTGAAATAAAAGATACCACAGAGTCTGACACATCTGTTTCATATTTGGATATTTTATATAGAAAAAGACCTTAATGTAATCTAACAACAAAGCTTTATGATAAATGTAATGTCTTTAACTTCCCAATCGTCAACTTCCCTTACTTATGCAGCAATATGCCCTTATCACCTGCATATGGGGTGTATATCTCTCAGTTGATTCGATACGCAAGAGCATGCTCTACGTTTGAACAATTTCTAAAACGAGGTAAGTTAATGACAAACAAGTTGATGGAACAAGAATATCAGCAGTCTAGTTTGAAGTCATCATTTTGTAAATTTTATGGTCGATACAATGATCTTGTCAGCAAATACAACCTATCATTAAGTCATATGCTGAGTGACGTTTTCATACTAATTGTTAGGCCATTATTTACACACTGAATTGTCGACGGACTTTTCCATTATTTACCAATCATGACAAGGAGCACACTGCGGGTGTAACCGGTCGGCAGGGGATGCTCACTCCTCCATGGCACCTGATCCCATCTCCGACCTTTTTGGAGGTCCGTGTTTGCTCTGCTCCAGATTTGTATTGTTTTAATGGACTTCGAGCTTAAATACTTCCCTTTGATAAATTGAAGTCATCACGATTATCATAAAGCTTTGTTGCTAGGTTACCGTTAAGGTAATTTTCTAGTAAAATATCCAGATATAAAACAGATGTTTCAGACTCTGTGTTATCTTTTATTTCAAGCTCACTGGAATATATTTAGTCGACATTTGAATGAAAGTAACTATTGTTAATTGATAATACGTCGTCGATATATCTAAATGTCGAGTTGAAGGCCACAGCAAGTGTTTTCTTCTTATGAAAAGTTTTTTGAATAAATTCTGCTTCAAATTAATACAAAATAGTTCTGCTTACAAGGGGGCGCATTTGGTACCCACGGGAGTTCCAAGAGATTGTTGAAAGACCTGATCTCCCAAAACTACATAGATATTGTCAATCAGAAAGCATCTTTTTAATATCAACTTCAGAGTACTTGTGTGTATAGTCAGAATGCTTTTTAACAAAATAATTTTGCAAATGACCAATGACAAGGTACCGTAAGTATATTTACAAGTTCCATATTTATTGAAAAAGCAGCTGTCTATAATGTCAAATAGCCTGGACTTTAATTCATCTTGGGGAATGGTTGTATAAAGTGTTGAATAGTCGTACGTTTTGATTTTATTGATTTTGTTAAAATTTTGTGATTTTAAATTTTCTACAAGTTCCTGGAGTTTTTAAGTATCCAAATCTGATTTATGGGAATATTAAAAATATTTAAAACTGACATATGACTTTGAAGAAAGGGAGCTATGGATATAATTTGGATTACCACTTGCAGAATTCAATCCTAGTTCCTCTAAAATACAATGCAAATAATGAGCCTTACAAACAAAGACAATGTTGTTACCTGCTTTGTCAGCGGGGACCAGTACATACTGATCGTGTAATCTATCTTATTCTTCTTTCACTTCTGCATTATCGAAGACAGAAGAATAGATGGTTTTCATATTGCCCCTCAATCCCTTAATGACTTAAAACGATTTCAACATCCATCTGATACATTTAATCCATTCTGACAAAATGTCAGTCTTCTTTTTCATATTTAGCCCATCGTCTGGCGTAATCTTCTACTGAATTCATAATATTTTTGAAATTATGACGCCAGTTGAAAGATCGGGGTTCCCTAAACTTAGGCTCTCTTATAATAAGTAATTTAAGGTCCTCATTATTAACTATATTTACGTCACCAGTAATGACGTGTCCAGCAGGACTATAGTTGTAAGGTGAAGAAGAACATGAACAGGTTGGAGGATTATGTATCAGATGCTCGATATCTAGGCACTGTAGAGTTTTTTTTTAATATAATTAAAAAGCTTGGAAGCAATTGTCGATGTTTATTTGTAAGAAATACAAGGTGTGGATTTCAACTTGATATACCGGTATGGTGTAATACAAGACTGGACCTTTTTATGATTAAGAATATTACATATATTAACTGCGTCAATTCCTTTGTTGGTATATTGAAGTTTAAGGAACAAACGGGTTGTTTGAGCGATAGTATTCTCTTCCGCGAAGAGTGGCGGTTTAAAGAGCCTGTGATTTGCAATATCCATTATCATAGATTCGAGCCTGTATTCTGATGTTGAAGAATCCAAATGTGGACTTTCCTTGACTTTTACAAATAGACTATTCAAAACTTTCAAAGGGACAGAGTAAAATATGATTAAGGGCCTAACTGTTTATTTACAAAAGGGAGTAGTGAATCAAAGGAGACATCGTTTATAATGGGTTTATTGTAAGACAAATATCCATGACTACGCTTACGTCTCTGTGAACTGTTAAAAAGTCCCATCACATTCGCATTGCTACACTGTGGACTTGAATGATTCCAAACACTATTGACATTGTCATTGCTACCATATGGAAAGGCCGTGCCTAGTTTTCTAATCCAGTATTCTTCTCGTTGTCTACGGAAAGGTTTACTCATTGATGGGCTATTAGTATTATGGTAAATCTTTTCTAGAATTCTAATTTTCGTTGACAAAATAGAATGATCAGGTAAATTAAAATGCTTGTAGAAAAGCTGCTGGCCCTGTTGTTATTTTGAAAAATATGCCCTGATATTCTTTTATTAAGTGAACACTTGGTTTCACCAACATGAATAAGTCCACAAAGGGTACATTCTATTCCATAGACAACATTACAAGATTTGCAATTCAAATTTTCCCAAGTTTTGGTATAGAAGATAGAAGCTCTAAGATTAAGTAAATGAAGACCTAGTAATCTAAATGTCACAGGTTTTACAGTTTTTGACAGAACGTTTTGAAATAGAACACATGGGATCGGAAAATGAATCGTCAGATATATCTCTAATAAAAACTTTACATTCCTTCAATTTTTTGTATGAACTGTTGGTTCTATACCAAAACTGAGTCAAAACTGGGAATCTGAGGATTGCACATATACATAGGTTTGATATCCCTGGGGATAATCCGAGGGACACCGATTGAACTCCTAGAGTCTGTGTCCCTTATAGACTTAAAAGAGTGACGCCTTTTATACTGGGCGACGCGTCTGCTTATCTAAACTCAAAGTCCATTTAGACAATACAAATCGGGAGCAGAGCAAACACGGACTTCCAAAAACACCAGGGGTGGAATCAGGTGCCATGGAGGAGTGAGCATCCCCTGCAGACCGGTCACACCCGCCGTCTGCTCCTTGTCATGATCGGGAAAACAGAAAAGTCCGTCGACAATTCAGTGTGTAAAAAATGGCCTAACAATTAGTATGAAAAACATCAGTCATCATTTGACTTTT